ATTCTGGCATGGTTAACAGGTATGATGCCAAGGAACAATTTTTTTGTTTAAAGTATAATCTTAAAGCTGCTTTTCAGGTAGAAAGTATGCTATCAAAACAGAAAGTGTCTGAAAATAGTGAAATTATCTGATTTTAGACTGACTTATTTCACCATTTAGGCACATTTTTTGTTTAAAGCATATGGGAAAATCCAAAGACATCCTTTTCAGTTTAGTGAAAATAAAACAAAACAAATCTGTACATCCATATCTCCAAATGATGTACATTAAAAAAACAAATAAGTATTTCTCTCTCTATCCTTACACTGGAAAACACATCTGGAAAATCTTTTTTTCTTGGCTCATGAGAAATTAACATCTTAAAGTGGACCAATCATGCTATATTTGAATAATATAGTGTAGGACCATACCTATATAAGGCATATTTATACTTCAAAATACCAAACAGATCATGCATTTTGGCCATGCCTCATTTCGCTCAATTTGAAAAATGTTAGCTCTGTTTTTGCAAGGGCAGATTCTGTGAGAACAGCACCACCTACAGGCCTGGCATATGTACTACAGCGTCTCCAGCGCTTTCGAACGGCAATGGCCGTGGCTGTCTCCTCCTGATTGGTGGAGTTGGCCCAATAGCCGTAGCGCCACTGTCCTGACGTCAGGACAGTGTTCAAATCTGGATCAGTTTTTATCAGATCCGTTGCAGCCCCTTTTTTAGAGATTTGGGTATGGAGGAAAATAGAGAGGGTTGTGTTTTCTGACACTTGGTGAGTTCCCTGGAACACCGGGGACACATATTCATGTATAAAAGACGTACAAAAGTGCATTTTGCATGATAGGTCCCCTTTAAGACTGCGTGGTGTTCACTGGACTGTGATGAACAAATCGCCATTGCACCTTGTTTTTCACACTCTCTGGAGATTTCTAACAAAGAGCTGTACAATGATTGTAAATCTGGGTAATGAGACATTGTTATGAGCTGTATCGTGATTGCATAATGGATCTGGAGCTGGAGTTATAGAATTAAAATTACACATCTCATCAATAGGAACAGATTACTAAAACCCCGACATTGTGGAGATTTTATATATCTCGTAAAGAATTAGGCGAACAGTTACAAATAGCTTTTAAAAATGAATAAATGATCTATTAGCTGATAAGCATCCCAGTAAAAGAATGAAGATAAGCTCTGGATATTAAAAATATAATACATAGAAAGTCATCGGTATGTTATTACAGCCTGGTATGGTCAGTGCAGCTGAAATCAGAGATCGCTCGCCTAGTGCTATCAAAATGATGGTAGTTAAAAAACATCCATCCCATAAACTCTATGAGCATTCCATCGTTAGACAGAAAATGGTATCTGATCCCGCCCACACCTCCACCCAGAGTTCCAACTCTTACCTTCTGGTAGGAGATATAGGGTCCCCAAAGCAGGCTACACCATTACATACACGTTGTCCTGCCAATGTCCATTTAGCTATCTATCGCATCGCATCACATCGCATCACATCGCATCACATCGCATCACATCGTAACGTATTGTATTGCAACGTATCACATACTATCGTATCACATCACATCGTATCGCAACGCATCGCATCATTTCACATCGAATCATATCACATCGAATCATATCACATCGTATTGTATTGTATTGTTTCGCATCGTATCGTACCCTATTGTATTGAGTCGCATCATATTGTATCTCATCGTACCGTATTGTTTCGCATCACATCGCATTATATTGTATTGCATCGAGCCGCATTTTATCGCATTGTATTATAACGTATCGCATCTTATTGTATTGTATCACATTGCATTGTATTGTATTGCATCGGATCGTGTCTCATCGTTTCCTATCACATTGTATCGTATCACATTGTATCGTATCACATTGTATCGTATCACATTGTATCGTATCACATCGTATCGTATCAAAAATAGGCTTTGATAGTCAGAGAAGTATTTAGATTAACTATAAAGCAAAAAGGCTGTGACAAGCCTTATATATCAGTGGTAACATCAAAGTATTTACAACACATGTAAGTTGTACTTACCTGTAATGAAGAAATAAAAAAATTACAAGACAAGGAGAAAGAAAAGGGAGGGGAACGGGACAAGAAGAGGAGAGACGAAAGGACATCATGTTATATTTATCATTACAAGTTATTGTATTACTATTGGGAGGGTCAGCACCCAGTTTATCACCTACACAAATGTGTCCAGGGTCCTCTACCACGCTTGTTTTATTTCTTGTTTTACAGTAATTGTCAGGCTGCTTTATGATGTCGATTTTCTCCCGGACTAACATGGACATGTATGATCTATATAGTCATAAATGAGGTGGTATTTTTTGTCCACTTTTTCTTCCTTGTGCAACAGGTCCGTCTGAGCGTGGGAGGGAAGGCAGATATTTTGAAGTGTAATCAATAGTATTGCAGGATCAAAAGAATATTGCATTTCGGATGTAGAGGGGTTTCTGTCTGTGAAATGTTGCTACTGTGGAGGAGAGCTTTCTTTATCTCTGAAATTGAGATGGCTCCTTCTGTTGTTGATGCAATGAGGCAATGGATTTCAGAGTAAGCTCACAATGCATGTGGAGTACTGGGACCATTTTCGTAAATGAAAATCACCAGAGTGATAGACTGATGAAGCACACTTGAAAACCAAGGCTTTTTAGAAAATCATTTGGGAAAACGTCAACAGTATTCTCGCTTCTTTCCTCATGGTTACTAACCATTCTTCCAAAGGTAAAGCTGTTCTGTGTTTGAGTTGAATACCTGCATTCATGATAAAACTGTTAATTGAAGCATTTCACTGAACAGACATCACCTCAGGGCATTATGAGAAGGCCATTAAAATGCAAAAAGGATTTCATACTTGACCTTGTCTACCGGATGTTATATAACAATGATTTTCTCTCCTCCTCTGGATCTCAAATGAAACAAACCTTCAAGTGCCAGAGCAAGAGGAGCGGATCGTATCTTGACACAAACGGACCTTCATCTCTGCGTTATTAGGGTTAAGGATTAATGACCTTTCATTTGTCTGACGCTTTTATCCAAAGTGACTCACAATAGGTGCAATCAACCACGGAGATACAAACTCAGAACAGCAATTATTCTAGAAGTTCATTAGCTTTCATTAAACCAAACACGTTTAAGTGCAATATACAGAAATAAGAAGTTTTCTTTAGTGTGGTCTGGAATGGAATGTTAACACTATAAAAATGTCTTTATCTATTTCTGATTTTCTGAGAGGGTTTGTAATAAAATAGACTGATGAACAACAACAACAACAACAACAACAATGTTCAACGTTTTGGGATCATTCAGCAGTTAAGATTTGATTAGTTTATATCCAAGGTTATTCGGGTTAGGGTTAGGTGTTTTGTAGGTTGTAACCGTTTCTGTATAGTATATGAACTCTATTCAATTCTAAATGTGTAAGTATATTTGGAATATATCTGTTGAGTGTCTGGTCCCTTATTCTCAAACACCTATAGCTTATCAAGGTGTTCAATTTCATATTTCTCTATTATTTCTTATGATTGTACTTGTATTTTTAAAGGGGCCCTATGATGCTGATTTCTAGGTTCATATTTGTATTTTGAGCCTCCACTGTGATGTGTTTACATGCTGTAATGTTCAAAAAGGCCTTTATTTTTCTCATTCTGACTGTGCTGCTGCACCTTTTTTCACACTGTTTTTGAACAAAATGAATTAAATTGTTTTTGTTTTAAGATTTTAATTGCTAAGTTGCAGTTAAAACAAGTGGGTTTTCTGTCTCTGACGGAAGATATTTGCACTTTCCGCAGTCCTGATATCAATGGGGGGGCTCGTTTCACCATTTTGGAACCACGAGCAGCAGGAGTTTTTCTGTTGAGAGATAACTGGGTAATACCATTACTTGTTTTTTCCGGGATCAGAGCTCTATAAAGAGGGTGTGACTCATACTTTAATAACTGTCAGTCCAAGGCTGAAGACTTTGGAGAACGTGTCCTTAATATTGTAAGCATCTCACAGTCAGGCCTCTACAGTCAGTAACAATTGAAACTCACCTAGAAAAGGCTATGTCACTCATGACACCTGGCCCTGATGGGTCTCTAAGCAACAAGTGCTAATGCATGAAACGAAGGAAAGCATCCACCTAATTACGTGCTGGTGGAAATCTGTCTCTGTTGTGCTGAGGGAGATAAAAGGAGAGACTTGTTAGACAGGAATAACCCATGATTTGTGTCAACATGTAATCTTTATTTACAGCATTTATTTTGATTTTGAGCTATCCGTGCTGCGTTTCTTTGTGTCTCTGTGGGGGAAATTACTAGGTTCATGTTTTTAGGCAGTGGGAAAGATTTAATAACATAAATGATACACAGAGCTCGGAGATGCATTCATCTGAAGATGTCTCTCTGACTTCATGCCTCTTCAACATCTGATTGGACTCTTCATGTTTGCATCGTAGGCGTTGTTCTCTCAAGAGTTGCTAGGGAACATCTAATGGCAGCATTGATGGGAATTTAAACATGTTCAGAAAGAAGTGCAAACCATATTGTAGTTTAACTTTTTCAACAGGCAACTTGTGAACTCATCAGAATACTTACAAAAATAGATACCTATAACATAAGGTCAACGTGCTGAATGATGTAAAGGGGACAGCTTGGGAGTATATAATACTAATTAAAAAGTGCTTTAACAAAATGGCACAAATCGCAAACTAAAAAACGACCTTTTTGGCAACAAAATATAACAGTTTAAGAGACACAAGAATGTAAAAAGTGTGATAATAACACAAATTACGCATTATATGCATTTTACCATTTTACCAGTAAATAATAACTGATCGTGTACGGTAAATATACGTCCAGCTGTGTGTAATGTATGGTTTTCTGCTGGATGCTTGCTGTCTATCAGCTGGCTCTGCCTCTGATGTCACTGAATGAGCAGTGCGGGCTCGCAGTGCGCACCTCCGGGGACGCAGCGGTGGCACAGGCAGTGGATTTTCTGCTCGTCCACTTCAACCCAGAAACCCTTTCTGCCATATTCCCAGTTTCCGGATTTCAATCAGTGTCTAAGCTTCTTATAAGAAACTCCTGATCTGTATTGTTGCATTTGCATGAACTTTATTTGGAGCAGAGAATAAGGTAAGGTGGTGTTTCACTTGTCCTTGAGCGCAGGCTGTTGCGCGCGGTTTCGTTGGAGACATATTCTGTTCTAATAGAGACATTTGCTTCGTGTTTTTTTAGTTTTTTTTAGCGATTTCTGTTTAAGTTAGACAGCCGCGTGCAGGCAGCGATCGGCACCATGGAGAGCAGCGTGGTGCACATCTTCAAAGAGGACATGTGTCCCTCGGAGGACTGTTTTCCAAACTTCACCGATCTACCCGGCTCCTCAGACGTCTTCAACTACACCTCCAACGGCACCTGGGACGCTGAACCCGAGCCCATGTCGCCCATCATCCCCATCATAGTCGCGTTGTACTCCGTGGTGTTTCTGGTGGGCTTGGCGGGCAATTGTTTGGTGATGTATGTCATCATCAGGTGAGTTTTCCTCTCTGAAATATGTCCGTTATTCAAGTCATGCCAAAAGCAATGCGAGTAATGTCATTAAGTGTGAATTTGCGTGCGTTTCTGTTCACTGCTCAATTCATATAGCAATAATGTATTTTTGTTTTTGTTTTGGATCAATTGCATCCTCTCATCATAGGAACTCATCTGATTTCAAGGGAAACTATAGTTACATCTGTTTGAATGTATGGCCATATTGTCTTTCTGTGCATTCAAATGGGGTTTTAGTTGGTAAACTGGGCTCGTTTTATTCTCTTCACCAATGACAACAATACCTTAAACAGTGTACTTTAAAAGCTTTGAAATCAATATTTCCTCTCAAAGGTCTTTTCATTTTAAGTGTTGTTTGTCAACCTGATTACAGTTCAAAGACTTAATTAGGCAAGACATGATGACAACTCAGATATATTTTCCTTCCCATTAGTTCCCTTTGTGTCATAGCATTTTGACTGCAATCTGTTTTATAGGATAACGGCTTAGCACTAAACTCCATCTCAGAAATTGATTTCATTAACCTTGTTCACCTTTAAAGGGTTTAACAACACACAAAGGAGCCAAACGACTATCTTATCCTTTCAACCTCTTCATGTCTCCTTCTCACAACAGATACACCAAAATGAAAACAGCCACCAACATCTACATCTTCAACCTGGCTGTGGCCGACGCTCTGGTCACCACCACCATGCCTTTCCAGAGCACCGACTACCTGCTGAGCTCATGGCCGTTTGGCGAGGTGGCGTGCAAAGTCTTCATCTCCATCGATTATTACAACATGTTCACCAGTATCCTCACCCTGACCATGATGAGCGTGGACCGCTACGTGGCCGTGTGCCACCCCATCAAGGCCCTGGACTTCCGCACGCCCGTCAAGGCCAAGATCATCAACGTGATCATCTGGCTGCTGTCGTCTGCTGCCGGGATCCCCGCCATGATACTGGGCAGCACCAAGACCAATAACGGTACCTTGACCTTTCATACATTCACACTGGTAGGACTCCACCTCTGATGTGATCCTTTCGGCATTAAAATGAACCTAAAAAGAATACCCTGTTATATTATTAAATTGCGTTCTTGTATTATAACAACAATTTTAAAACCTAAAAGTATCTGTACTCTGATTCAAGGTACCAATCAAAAGCCTTTTGGGCGCCATTGGTGTATCAAGTATTAAAGGTAGGGTAGGTAAGAATGGAGAAACCAGCTCGAGTGCGCTAGAAATTGAAAGTACACAACCGGCTAAAATAATTGGTCGTGCTTTTTACAGCACCACGGCTTCCACAGATGACATTTTTTTATGTATTTATTGTCAAAGCATTTAATTTATTCATTGCTATTGGGATGTTAAGAGCATTCCATGGAATATAACAAAAAGTGTTTCTGAAGTGAATTACCTACCCCACCTTTAAGCCACATTTGTAAACTTTTTTTTCATCTACATATTTTAACTGGGAAAAATGTTTGAGTCATTTTAAACATTGATATTAAGTTATCAGAGGAAGAAGCTTCACAAATGTTAACAATAGCTTAGCAATAGCTTAGCAATAGCTTAGCAATAGCTTAGCAACGCAAGGGAAAACACAGATTTTGAATTCTGAACGTTGATTAGAAACTGATTATAATCCAGGTACATTGCTTTGGAGAGGAGACCTCTTTAGTTAATTTACTCTTAATGTAAAACTTGTCTATATCTTAAGTAATCAGAGGAACGAGCTTCGCAAACATTAGCGGTTTGCTCGCAGCCAATACAGCCAATGTCTGCGGTTCCATTATTGGGGGAATACTAATATTTAACTTGTAACAGCTTTAAATTGTGTTTTTAATGGTTAAAATCCTCATTCATCTTTGAAGAGACTTAGCTTCCTGTAAAATCCTCCCTGATTGCTATGGTGTGGTTATGCGTTGAAGATAACCAACCCTATGATCCCTATCTACTTCACCACACCACCAATCCCCTAGCCTCTTACGGGCAGATAATGACATAGTGTGTGTTGATAGAAGTTATAAGCCTTTCTGCTCATCTCTCTCTGGTTCAGTCCCTCCCTGCTAAGTAGACAAAAGATCTATCAGCCGCAAAGGGGCTCTAACAAGCAATTTCAAACTTCAAGCCCCACTTCATAGCACCAACCTTGCCTTAAATATCTCAATTAGATGCAGCAAGTATCCTTCTTTCCTGAAGAGGATGTTCTGTAGGTTTGATGAGATCCTGCATTGCAGCTTTCTGAATAGATGAAGCAATTATAGACATTATAGGTCCTTCTATTTAATAGAGCTCAAAGGAGGCATTTTTTTCCAGCAAAAGTTTGATAGATCGTGCACGATTATAAAGCTCAATGCACTATGAGACTAGGTGACGAACCGGATTCTGGCTGAGTACTCTTTGTCTTTTTGGTTTCCTCTGAATTTGGGGTTAGGTTTATTATGGCTTTTCTTTGTGTTTGACTGGTAAACTCTGTTGTTCTGGGACTAACAGGGACTACAGAGTGTGCCCTGCAGTTCCCTGAACCCTACAGCTACTGGGACACCCTGATGAAGATCTGCGTCTTCATCTTTGGCTTCGTGGCACCCGTCATCATCATCACCGTCTGCTACACGCTGATGGTGCTGCGTCTGAAGAGCGTGCGCCTGCTGTCGGGCTCACGAGAGAAGGACCGTAACCTCCGCCGGATCACCCGCCTGGTCCTGGTGGTGGTCGCCGTCTTCGTGGTGTGCTGGACGCCCATCCACATTTTCATCTTAGTCAAGGCTCTGTCTGGCAACGTTCCCGAGACCACCGGCGTCATGGCCGCCTACTTCTTCTGCGTGGCGCTGGGCTACACCAACAGCAGCCTCAACCCCATCCTCTACGCCTTCCTGGACGAGAACTTCAAGAGGTGCTTCAGGGACTTCTGCTGCCCCGGAGTCAAAGGACACAGAGACTCTCATGGGGTGAGCCGGGTGAGGAGCACCCTGCGGGACCACTCGTGTCCCACAGAGGCCCGGGGGGATGGGAGGCAGGCCCGGCCCGTATGACTAACCATGGACACGTCCTCCATGCCCTGTCAGAGCTGGGAGGACTCCAACGACCTGCTGACTCAAGTCACCACTGCCACCTGAGGGAGGGGCTAAAGCCAGGGCTAGCTTTTATTTATTTATCCAGCGTGATGCTCAGATACTCCACAGCCAGGTTTACTTAAAGGTCAAGTGTGTAGGTGTTAGTGTCATAGTGAGGAGGAGGCAACCATCTGATTAGATAAGTGCAGGAATGAGTCCTTAAACCCAACAATTTGTAAGTATGTTGGCACTTCTGGTTCCCTCATCTTGGGACTTCTGGCGATTGCATTTACGCTTCAACAATTATAAATCTAGTGTTACTGCAAGTCGACCGCTGATCATTTACTACATTCACAACTTAATTTACTATATACTACATGATAGCAATTCTTATTACTATATGTAACAGTGACAATGATTGTGCTTGGGGCTAAGGGCTACACACAGGGTAGAGAAGTGAGAAAGTATTGAGACATTTTTCTTTTAAAGTTTATTTTTCCGTGGGATCTGTTGACATTTAGAAAAATAAAGATTGTTGGAACAATCATTTAAAATGTACTTTAGGTTTAAGCCTTTGAGACCGTGATTGTGAAGTGTAGTTAATGCCTCTGGAGTCACAACCCAGATAATAAATCTAATATTTTGAAATGTATAAAATGTACAAAGCTGAAATCCAGCAAAGAAAAGCAAAGTGTCATTATTGTTCACATTGTTGGTATGAACAATGAAAATATGATTAAGATGTCACGATGAGACAAACCAAAAATGATTTATTATTATGTAGCTTGACCAGATTTTGTTCACCTTACTTGGTAAGTCAACTAGTGGTTTGTGAACAAAATTTAAAAAAGAAATCAGCCCTAATTATTTCGGGAACAAACTGCATTATGGGCATTGTTTTTAACTGATTGTGTATTTTTGTGAATTGTATTTTTGATGCTGTATAAATGTGTGAATAGTCTATATCATTGGCAGTGAACCCATGTAAAATATATAGGGAGGCTGTGGCTCAGTGGATAGTGTGATGGACTTCGAATCAGGGGGTAGCAAGTTCGAGTCCCACTGCAGTCAGCATGTCGTTGTGTCCCTGGGCAAGACACTTCACCCCAAATTGCTCCTTTGGGGATTGTCCACAATATTGAATGTATGTAAGTCGCTTTGGATAAAAGCGTCTAACAAAATGTAATGTAATGTAATATAGTAATCTCTCAGGGATCATCCTGTGTAATTCACCACTAGAACGTACTACATTAAGTATTTTCCTCTTGACAGATGGCTGACTTTGATGAGGCTTTGGTCTCAAAGCTATGTGCACAGTTTGTTCTTTGAAGCCATTTTAACAAACTACAATTTCATCTGACATGGATCCACATCTTTTATTCCAGGCAGTAGGTGTTGGTTGTATACATTGTTACGTCAACCTGGCCTGTTCACACCTTGTCTGAAATACTAGTTATTGGAAAAACTGGGTTACAGCACTCCAAGGAAACAGCTCACATGACAACCACATATGTATGAATCCAACATGCCTTTTGGTGTTTAGTGCAATTCAATGTTCATACTGTAAATAACAATGCACTCATTAGTTTATTGTCTTGGAAATTGGGTGTTTACATGTAACTGATTACTGTCTTTGTTTCCTGAATTATTTTAGCTTTCATACGAGTCACTAGATCAAATCAAATCATGCTTGTGATGGTTTTTCTTAATGTAGAGCAACCTGTTAATATATGTATCTGTCTAAATCTGATAGGGTAGTTATAGCAGAACATGTTTTGTTGTGCCTTTTTATGTGTGCCTTATCTTAATTGGCCTCTGAACTCAGTTATTTTGCTTATTTGAAAAGATCAGCAATTAGCCACATCCATTTTTGTGCTGCCTTTCTTTAATGATATGAAAGTATTTTGTGGTATAAACGTACTGCTTTTAATTATTGTAGCATTATCTTAAAAAAACTAGAAGTCCTACTGAGGACCCCTGTTGGTTACTGGTATGTATTTCTTATCTATTCCTCAAATACTGTATTTTAAACAATAGAAAATATTGTTTTCATATTCAAATGATCAGCCCAGGTCTGAGCACCACATACTGTATGTATAATGTGCTGCTGCATTATAAATTGACTGTATCTGTTGGATATGTTGCTGTATCTTTTAGCTTTGAATATCAAAACATGCTCCATGTGTCACATTAAAGCGTTTGCTTCAATTAAAGATCAATATCAAAGTGTATCCTCTGTTTTCACTTTAACTCAACCCAAAGTAAGTGTTTCCTTTTTTCGTTGGTGGCCATGCGCTAAATTGCGTTATGACCTTATAGATATATACAGTCTATGGTTGCTGCCCATTTGGTTTGAAAAAAATGGTATTGCAGGTTGTAATTGAGTCTATTCCTGTATTTAAAAAAAAAAATCATAATTTCAACCATTGTTTCCTAATTAGGCTATTTTGTTCATGTTGATAGCATTTAGTGTCATGTCTAATTACAGAATCATTTGGTAGAATAGCGTATAACTGCAGAATATTTTCAATCTAATACAGACATTTGTATTTAATATCTAATTATGATCTTGTAAATGGTTTCTAATTGTGCATTAGCATGACCTGTTTGGTTTCTATTTGAAGTTTATTTTGGGTCTATTGGGACTATGCTCCAGCTGAAATACTAATCATGTATTATATTTGACTAATACTGTAGTTACAATACTTGTGCTAATACCAGTACTGCTATAATTATTACTGACACGCCTGCTTTCTCCTGCCGCTACTTCCACTACGCCTCACTTTTGCTAGTTTGAGGCTTCCGCTTTTTTTAATTGTGGATCATAATTGGAAAGGACAAAGGTTTTTCCTAATGGTGTGCAGAGGGATTCTCAGAGATTTGAGAGGCAAATTAAATCAGTCAGTTCCTGTGTGCATTGATTATGCTATTAGCCATAATGACCAAGATTACTACAGTTTTCTGTCTGTCAAGGTCTGTGTGCATTGGGAAGCCATTACATAGCCAGATTCAGAAAAAGGCTCCTGTGCCTAATTAGGCTCTAATAGACTTCATCGTTCAGGGGAAAACCGTCAATCACTGCAGCTGCATAAAGCACATCCTAAACAATGATTGACAAAAACAGAATTTTAACATGCATGTGCTATTACTTGTTTATGTATTTACTGGTTTTCAAAATACATAAATTGAGAACAAGTTTTGGGTTGTCAGTTTGGCTTGTGTTGATACATATACATTTCCAAACAGGCGGTTCATAAATTACCTAAATTAAATTATCCATGACACACAGTGAAGTCTACATATAGTAACCCTCTTAATCATGAAACCATTTTGATTTAAAAAAAAAAAAGCACTAATACTTTTATGATTACCTTTGTTTGCTACCAAATCATATTTACATGCAGATGGGATTATATTCCTGCAGATGTAAGAAATACTCAGACCTCACACTTAAGTACAATTTGCAGTACCGAAGACTCCTGCATTTAAAATCTTCCTTAGGTAAAAGTACAAAAGTATTAGTAACTAAATATATTTAAAGTACCAAAAGTAAAATAACTCATTATGTGTTATAGCCCCTTTCAGAATATTGTACATCAACATACCGGATTGTGAATATTGAAGCATTATTGGGTTTATCACTGATGGTAAATGTTGAGGCAATTTAAAATACTTTGTATACTGATGCTGGAAATATTAACCTATCATGTCATCATTTATTAGTTGATGTATCTTTTGTATTGCTAATAATCCAAGTCTATAAAGTCACAAAAGCTTTCAGATAAATGTAGTGGAGTAAAGTTAGGTCAACAATATACATAAAAGCTCAATCCCTCTGTATCTGCAGTGTGGAGGTTTAACAAAGACTAGTGCATCTGCGGGGACAATGGGTTTTCACTACAGCTGCACTTCTTCTACTCGCCACACGGGGGCAGGCGTGTTTGGAGAAAATAACTCATCTCATTCGCCACAACCGTTCACACCAACCAATAGGAACCGTTTGCGTCTGAACCGTTACTTCCGGGTGTAAGTCCGTTTTCATTTGATGTTTCTTTGTATTTCATCTAAATAAAGCTACGAAATAAAGCTACAAAACGTTTAAAAAATGAACCGAATATTTGGACGCGGAAAGCCGAAGTCGCCTACTCCAAATCTGTCGGACTGTATCGGAAATGTGAGTCTTTGTTTTGTTGTTTACGACCTCAGGTGCCATTACTGAGCTAACACTGCTAACACGCTTCTGTTAATAAACACCTGCCACTACCAGCAATATAAATACCCCCTCTCTTTTGTTTTTCATTCTGGTTTAAACTGTGAAATAGGTATATATTTGTTAACCAACAACCGTCAATTATTTTCCTTTGCTCATGCTTTTACACCTCTAGCTTTCTTATCCATATTATATATTTCCAGGGTCTTGATTGTGAAATGAGAGCTATCAATTCAGGTTAATGGGGTTTATTAGCATGACATTTTACGTGTGTTTCCTAAGCAAATACAATTATGAAATTCTAAGGCACCGCAAGGAACCTTTATTTATTTATATAACTCAAGCAAAATGACAACGAATAATAATAACAATAACAAATACAGTGAAATACATTTCAATCAATGAAAGAACCAAAACAAGTGAATTACAATATTAGTTGTCCGAATAAACAAGATGATAATAGGTAAATCGAATCAAATTAAAAATATATGTATATTTACTTAATTTATTTGGTCTAAAGTTAAGAAAAAATAGTCTTGCCCACAACTTTGAGGTGGTTTATATATTATAATAGGCTACGAGCTATAGGTGTTTTCAACATATTGACCTAGAGAAAAACATTACATTTAAGAAAGAAAACATTGATGCAAACTTTGAAAATCTCTTTGATGTGCCAAATTAAGAGATTATTGAGTTTGGGAACATAGTAACCTATGCTGTTTATGCACTTTTAGTCTCCCTTCATGTGTTCCACATGCAGCACACACAGTATTTAGGCTGTGTGTTTGTTCTGCAAGGAGGCTGCAAATCAATACTCCTCTAATCAACCCTCTCTTTTCTGCAGGTGGATGCAAGATCAGAGTCCATGGAGAAGAAGATTGGCAGACTAGACGTTGAGCTTGTGAAGTACAAAGATCAGATGAAGAAGATGAGAGACGGGCCCTCGAAGGTATCACAAACACAACAAGTAAACCGTAGGAATTATGAAGATTACAAGATTCTTTTTCAGGTTAATGTAACATGATTCATTTTTTTTAATACAGAACATGGTCAAACAGAAGGCTTTGAGAGTCCTGAAGCAGAAGAGAATGTGAGTCCACTGCACAGTTTATACCCTAAGATATATATACATAAATAAGTACTGTATCAATATGTTTCTGTATGGAAATGCCATATATGTCAATACTATAATTCATAAGTTGTGTCACCATTACAGGGTTATTTTTCAGTTTTCTTGGCTATGATTCATGATCAATACAGTTTAGGGCTTCATACTTCATTAAAAATGCTTGCATGTTACAAATATTAGCCAATATATGGTCACTCGACTGTCCATCTATTGCAGCCTTAAAAAATCCAGTATTGGAATGGCTCTACTTAGAATTGAGCTTTACAGATAATACGAAGTGCTCATTGTTTTAAAACTCACCTGTGTTTGTTTTACGCAGGTATGAAGGTCAAAGAGAGCAGCTGGCTCAGCAGTCTTTCAACATGGAGCAGACAAACTACACCATCCAGACATTAAAGGACACCAAAACAACCGTAAGAGCCAAACGACTTGATAAGCAAACTTAGTAATATGTGTTAAGTAAGGGATAAAACGTTGTCATACCAAACAGTCCTCTCGTGCTGTCTTAAATACCTAAGGAGTGCCTGAGACAAGAAATCTCACATATTCAGATTCAGACGTTTCTTCATCTGTGTCTCTACCTGAAAAAGACACATAACTGATTATATTCCAGGTCTAATAATATAATGACAACATATAAACCTTGTGCAATGTATTTTCTGTTTTCAGGTGGAGGCCATGAAGATCGGTGCAAAGGAAATGAAAAGAGCTTACAAGGACGTCAAAGTTGATCAAATCGATGTATGTTTACCGCTAAACTGTTTGTGTTATCACTTATAATTCAATAATAGGTACTCTGGACATCAATGCTAACAAAGGATCATCTATTTTCTGTATTTGTGCCTCAGAATATCCTAAACTATGTCAAGACCTACCCTTGTTTCATTCAGAGGTATGATACATATTGAGTGATCATGTATGTTTGATATTTCAGGATCTACAGGACCAACTGGAGGACATGATGGAGGACGCCAGCGAGGTCCAAGAGGCGCTGAGCCGCAGCTACGGCACTCCAGATATAGACGAGGATGATCTTGAAGCAGGTATACCTGACATGTTTATTTTTTTATTTAGTCTCTGGGCCCACGCCATTTTGATGCTGCCAGTTTAATAAAGAAACAACTAATGGTTCTTTCTAAGCTTTTCAAAACAGAACTCAAAATGCTTTAAAAATTCTGAAACAAGAATCAGAATCAGAAACGGGTTTATTATCAGGTAGGTTTACACGTACGAGGAATTTGACTTGATGTCGTGTTGCATAAAAACCAGAATGAAAAACACAGGTAGAGAACTGTAGAATGTAACTATCACGCTCACAGGCAAACATGAAAGTAATTGACTGTAGATCTGCACGATTTGGGAAACATAACTCATCGTGATAATTTTGACTGGTATTCCAATTGCAATATGATATTCATGATATTTAAGGGAATGATCATTTTGCATCATTATTCTCAATATCATTGAAAAACATATTTAGATAACTTTTTAAGAGGATCTGTAGCAAACAATTTTTTTTGTATCAGTCTGTAAAAGAGGATTTGTAGCACCTCTGCAGCACCACGATACTTTAGATTTAAATGTGATTCTTATGACATCATATTTAGCATTTAACAAATATTGTTCCTCCTGCGATTTGAATATTGCACTAGTCCATGTTGCAATTGCTATAAGTTCGCGATTAATGGTGCAGCCCTTATTGATTGATAAAAATAGTCTTTCATATTCACTCTATTAAAGGTAGGGTAGGTAAGTTTGAGAAACCGGCTCGAGATCGCTAGAATTTGAAAATACACAACCGGAGAAAATCTGCCACTTCCTTATAGAGCCCCTCCTTCAACACACACGAACGTGCACATGACCAATGAGGGCACGAGATAAGTTTGTGCACAGATGAAGGCTGACAGGCAGGTAGGCCATCCAGTTATTTTAGCCGGGCCGGCTAAAATGATTGGTCGTACTTTTTACAGTACCACGGCTTCCACAGATGACATTTTTTTATGGATTTTTTGTCAAAGCACTTAAGATATTCATTGCTATCGGGATGTTAAGAGCATTCCATGGAATATAACAAAAAGTGTATCTCGAGCCGGTTTCTCAAACTTACCTACCCTACCTTTAACAATTGAGAAAAATCTAGTGGTGGAAAATCTGTTGTTAACTTGGGATACGAGCTTGGCCAAACCTGCTACAGCGCGTGCAGTACTGTGTTGACGGTGTGACTGTTTCAGAGCTGGACGCGCTGGGCGACGAGCTGCTGCTGGACGACGACAGCTCGTACCTGGACGACGCCTCGGCCTCCCCCTCCATCCCCGAGGGAATGCCCAGCGATGCCAAGACAAACAAGGTAACAGTATTCAGAAGATCGTGGTCACTAACACTTTATAATGAAGGCACCAAGTGGAGGATTACAGAATAAAGAATGCATGCTTCACGTTTACAGCATGTGTGCTTCCTGAAGTAAAAATGGTCATGTAGTTAACGGGCTATAATGTGTGAGAATCATATTCAGTGTTTTGCTCCACTAAAAATGATCAATAAAAAGACCAAGTCCAAATAAAAACGAGCTCAATATAACCCAAATTATGACTGTACGCATGCCACATTTTCACTTTGAGCAAACAAGCTGAATGTGCTTATTAGATTGGACTTTTAAGCTGTTTATGAGCAGCTCTGATACCCTCTGTCATTTAAGTGTTTTGTTTTTGTTTTTTCAGGACGGCGTTCTGGTGGATGAGTTCGGCCTGCCACAGATTCCTGCCTCGTAAACAAGGGATGGATTAAAGCAACTGCACTTCAACTGAAAACACTTTTATAAGAGTAACATTTATACATGCAAAAGGTTTGACCTGAGAACACTACGATTTTGAAGCCATCCGTGTGTTGGGTTGTGTATTTTTAACACTACCGTGCTAGCATGTGGCCTTGTGTGACCTTTTTTTAAAAACATGATTCCCCTTTCGGTCGTTTTCGTCCTCCTGTCTAGCACTTATCCATCAGTCTCGTCCATCACCAGTATTACCAAGCTCATTTTTATTTGTCTTAATTGTGTTCTTGTTTTGTGTGTTGTTCGGTCATCACTGTTATGTTTTAGTTTTGTCTTACAAGTGGAGATTATTCTATTATTTTAAACATGCAAATTAAATTGTTTTAACTTACCACTGCATTCTTTGGTTAATTATTTTTCAACCAGGACACCAAGTCATTGCATTTAACATCTTTAACTCACTGTGAAGATGCGAGGCACTTGTATACATATTAAAGTGCTTTTCCCTTTATAAATACGGTACTTAAGTACAGATTTTAGGTACCTGTACTTTAAAACATTATTTGGTATAGATGAATCCATTCAATATTATATTTAAGTGACTAGAAAAAGAGATGTCTATAAACATAAAGCCAACCATATTACAGAGAGACATTACAAACAACTTTGTACATAATTTCCTAAAAAGGTCTCTTTTTCATGTTAACTGAATGTGTAAAAATGTTGAAAACGTCTTAATCCAATTCTCTATTTTCCAATACATCATATTTAAATCAACTCCATTTTGAAAGTTTAGTCTGTTTGTATAAAGTCCTCCAGATATATTACAAACACACAAAGTGTAACCTTCAAATGGACTTTGTTTGGTATTGGCAAACATTTTATGACATCCTTCCTGATATTGCGAGTACCTTGTTCGTTTAAAAGCTTTGTATAAACATCTCGAACATAGGAGGCATTATAATATGTTTGACAGGAGTTAACCCTAACCCTTATGGCATGTAGTTTTTTTTTAATCAAAAATGTAAATTCAAAGTCTGGGCTAAACCAATTCATGATGGAAACCGTGTGGATAAGTCTGGAAACTACTTCTCTGAGAGGACACTTGTAGACTGTACAGTTTGTAACATGATAATATTCCCCGTCACCTGTGAGTCGAGCTCATTCCTGGTAGCGACAGCCAATCACGTTCACGTCTGCTACCAAGATTCTACCAAGAATTGAGAGCTCTGGCCAATCAGCGCCCGTATTTCTACCAAGAATCGGCTCCGCAGCAACCAAGAATGGACCAATCAGCGTCTCCATAGGCGGGGTATACTCTGCGGACGCCGCGAGCGAGAGATTAACTTTTTCCCAACATCACGCTTATAAACTGTCATATTAGATGTATAGATATATTTTAAGTAAACAACATGTTGCTCAGGGACATTTTACAAATGACTAGCGAACCGGACATGTCCCGTTCCATGTATGTGATGTTTACCTGTAGCGGATTATTATGTAGCCTACATGTATCGTCAATTTAATGTTGACATATCTGGCTAAATAACATGCCTGTTTATGACATTACCCAGCTAAAGTTAAGGACTAACATAACTACGGTATGAGCTAGAGAGAATCTCGGACGGGACGGGAGCGAGCTAGCGAGCGAGCGGAGCTTCTTTTGTTGTGTTTTTTTTCTCCGTCACCGGTGCAGCGACCGACGTGTTTTAAAAGTTAATTTAGTCTTTACGCGAGCTTTAACAGCATGAGATACAATTAAAACAAGAGCAAAACAAATCTTGCCCTTGACTGTAACCGGACACCCGTTTTTATTTTACCATTAATTTAAATACTAAACCTGACTTGTAAACGAAAGTCCGGTGGGGACAGTGAAGGGAAGTTACAATGCAGTTTACACCACCTTTTTTAATGAAATACTTGTACTCTACTTGATTAGGCAGGCCTGTTTCCATTGTAAGGTACTTTAATACACTATAATTGAGAGGAAATTATTAAATAGTTACGATGAAGTCAAGTTTTTCATACAAAAGATATGCTATTTTTACATTTCGATTGATTGATTACATTTAAATGCATAATCTGCATTTGTACTAGTGTAAGCATTGGGTTGAGATATTCATCTTTAATTTGTATTGTATGTAGTCATCAGTTTTTCTTTGAATCAATATGAAATCTTTTACAGCTTGTTTATTAAATATTTATTATAAATTATATATTTCTCAGTTTTTTTAAATATGACTATTTTCTTATTCTTTAAATGGAACCACGCTTTCGAAAACGGGCTGACGGCAGTCTTAACATGACCGACACTTTGGAAGCAAAGCTAGGCCGTGGATTCGACCTCTTTCCCCCGAGGAAGTGATGGACAAGGCCAGAACAGCCATAACCCAGCACCGTGGAGATTCATCCAACAGAAGACACCGGCTGGGTTTCTTTGAAATCCAGTTTGGTCTGTTTCGCGGGCAGACTTTCTGTTGGGTGGCGGAAAATTATCTTGGCTATGCTGCTGGTGGCAGCAATGAAAAGAGACCCGACAGGAGGCTGCAAAGACTCCAAAGAACATGCCCTGAACAAGGGATGTTTCAACGAGTATATTGAGCTCTTTCCTTCTGGTAGAATTGCCATGAAAGAAGAGCAATATGCTGCCAAAGCTCCCTAGCACACTCCCCCTGCCCAGGTCACTCTCCCTGCCCAGCACTTTACCAGCACAGAGCATGCTGCTCCCACCCAGCAAGCTGGGACCAGCCAGCATGCCTCAACCTCTTCACTCCGCTCCCTTTTGGTTGGACAGAAGGTGCCAAATCAAAGGAGCCTGACAAACGCAGTGAAACGGCTGGTTTCCCCCCCTCAAAACCAAACCCTGTAAGCAAACATTTATTTGATAACACTTATTTGTAATGTTTAGTACTCTTCAATACTTGTGATGTTTATCTGTTTGTCCTTAATTTGTCTTTCTTTAGCTTTGGTCCATGCACGTGCACGGCAAAAACCCCACCTCATCCAACTGCCTGTGTCCTTCGAGGCAGCAAAAGCCCCAGCATCCACCCTCACACACCCAAACAAGAGTTTGTTACATTAAGTAAACACAGAGACATTATCTGTGCTGGAGCAAAGAGGGTATGGGGAAAAAAAGAGAGGAGATGCAGCTTGAATGACCAAATGTTGTGAGTAGGTGGGTCATTTTGTTATTTATTTGACACTTTATTTCTTTACATTTTATGGCACTGTTTAATTAGTTATGTTATATATGGTACACTTTTATTATTATTATTATTATTATTATTATTGTTTATATTGGTATTATAATGTTGTTGTGACCTCATAGCACGTATAAACAGTTTTGGATGTTTCTGTGTTTTTAACTTCTTTTAAATATTTGTTATTTATTTTGCAACTTTTTCACTTTGTTATATTTTGCACTGTTTTTATTGTCTTGTTATTTGTATTTATTTTACACTTGACTATAAATATTGTAATAATTGTTGTTGTTATTATTGTTGTTTGAAATATATAAATAAATATAAAACAACTAAGGATGTTTCTGTTTTGAATATTTCATCATCATATTTCACTTTCATTATTGTTATATGTACTTAATACTTTGTTATTAGGTTTTAATACATTTATTACAAGTTTTAATTATAATAATAATTTCACAAAACAACAATAATCCTCATTCAACTTCACTACATTTCAGAGGCAAATATTTTACTCTTAACTTCATTGATTTGATTACATGAGTTACTTTGAAGATTTTGATTCTGTTACAAAGTACAATAATATAAACATACAATGAATCATTTCACGAATGATTATGGTGAAGAACTTAAATGATCCATTGATTTTATTCACAACCTACCCAAAAGTATGGTAAAATAATAAAAAAGTTCCACCTTTACGCATGTTCTGACATACAAGGGATTGAGCGGGATTCGAAACCGCGCTCGCAGGGCGTATTTCGGCTACTTCACGGTTATCAAACATAGACTAACGCGCTATGTCTTTATGCAGTTTTGAGGGGAGGAATCTGAAGAATTCAACAGGCTGTAATCTTAAAAGTGTCGACTCTGGTGGGACTCGAACCCACAACCTTTGAATCACTTCACCAGTGTTTTGCTAGAAGTCCAATGCGCTATCCATTGCGCCACAGAGCCAGGTCTTCCTACACTTTTGTGCACACTGTAAAAAATGTTCATGTTTTAACCAAATGTGAAACTCCACAACTTAATTTAGTTTGATGAATTGATAGATCTTTAAATGTTGTACTACACATATAGGTGGTACAAAAAAAGTTGTGAAAACTCATAATGTGTTTTGGTTAATATCGGAATGCGTGCGCTTGAATAAACAAACATAAATACTCGGGTTATGTCACTGTTTTTCAATTTTATGTACACTTTTTGTCTGGATGTAAGCTATTGTGCCGTTGGCAAAATATAAATAAAGTAAAAACTAAAATAAAGACATTAGATGAATTGTTTCCTGTCTGTACCGGAAGTAGTTATTTAGCAACAGTTAGCCAAAGCTAGTTGTGTGATTTATGTTGTGCATTAAGTAAAGGACGTTATAAACAACATGTCAGGGCAAACGTTAACAGTGACAGTTGCTTACGGTAATACCATTTTTGCATGATGTTAAACTATGGTTCCCAGATGATAGATACGAGTATGTTAGTTTAATAACCAGCTAGGAAGTGGTTAGCTGATGTAACGTTAGCTACAGTTAGCTCTTACCATGCATTTCACTTTAGTAGCTAAACATCCTGACTAAACAGTGCATGCAAGTTAACCGTGTCTTTATTTGTCTGATATCTGACTAGTTGGTCTACAGCTACATAACATGGATTATCAAAAACATGTTTATTTGTAAATGAATGCATTTTCTTCACACACAACAAAGATTTGGGATAAAAATCACAACAGCATCGCTTATCTCTAAAACCTGCTGCTTAAGTAATTGGTTTTATTAATACGTTGAAATACTTGAATGGGACATTACTGATTTTATTAAATCCGTTGTATGCTTTGCCATCGTAACGTCACAAGTCTTAAGTGTAACATTTAATACATGTATTTATTGTTTATTGTATGTTAATTACATTCAGTTCGAGGGTATTAAAGGTAAATATAGTTGGGGAAAATTGTATTTGGCGAGAGGTGGATCAGATCTTCAGATCTTGTACTTTAGTAAAAGTAGAAATACCAAAGTGTCGGAATACTTTTTTTCAAGTAAAATTCCTGTACTCAAAATGTTACTCAAGAACAAAAGTATTGGCACCAACATATACTTAAAGTACTAAAAGTACACATTATGCATATTGGTCTATTTCAGAATAATATATCTATAATATATATATAATATATGTTGGTTATAATTATTGATGTATTGATGTTTTTATCACAGCTGGTAAAGGTGGAACACATTTTTCTAAACACAAGACAAATGTGCAAAAATGCAGTGAGGGATGAGGGGGCTGACTGTAGTTAAAACATGTAACTGTGCTTGGGACAAATCATTTCTGGTAGACTCTTTTTTTGTGTTTCTGAGGGATAATGGATGGCACTGCTTGCTTTTTATGTCAAGAGATTTTTCTAGAGGTCATTGTAGTGAAAAGTATAAATCAGTTTGTTCCAGAAAAATTATCTCCCACAATTTAAAAAGCAATTGTCGCTAATGATTGTGCTAATGATACATTTTTTTCTTTCCCAAAAGGATCTGCTAAGCACAGCATCACATTAACTGGCCAGGATGAGGGCAAAGGACCCATTGTCAAAGACCTCTCAGATGCTCTTGCCCAAGCCACTGGAGTTCCTCAAACGTCACAGAAACTCATCTTCAAAGGTAGACTGTCGGCCTCTTTTCTTCCACATCCTTGAATATCTTATTATTTTACACCTACCTCTAATCATGCCTTATTCTTCATGTCATTCCAGGAAAATCCCTGAAGGATGTGGAGGAGAGTCTGTCCAGCTACGGAGTAAAAGAAGGCTGCAAACTCATGCTGATTGGAAAGCGGGTAAGGCCTTAACATGTGTGATTTCTCTTGTGTGTGACTGTATATTTCAATAAATACTGGCAATAATCTACCAACAGAATAGTCCTGAGGAAGAGTCTGAACTGAAGAAGCTGAAAGACATTGAGAAATCTGTAGAACAGAGCGCTAAAAAACTGGAGAAGGTCGACGGGGAGTTGACTGGACTCAAGAACGTAAGAAATAAATCCTGCTTTGAAAGATGCATCATTTTCCTATTCTGTTCTCCAATATATTTTTGTTGAAAGTACTGTTAAAAAGTTTGACAATGGATTTTTTTTCACAGGGCTTCCTTGCCAAAGACCTCCAGGCAGAGGCGTTGGGTAAACTAGATCACCGAGTGAAAATAGCAGCTGAACAATTCATGAAGATTCTCGAGCAGATTGATACTATGGTGATCCATTTTGTTTGATTAATTTATGAGCATTTGGTTTCTTACAGATGTCACATATAAACCTGAAGTGTTTCTTCTGTTAACAGAATATCCCAGAGAATTTCAATGACTGCAGAATGAAGAAAAAGGGACTTGTAAAGACCGTCCAGGTAAACCCTTTTCCAGCATCACTAGAATGTTGTACTGTAATTGAAAATCATTGTCAATAAATATCATTATTTTCCGCCAATAGGATTTCCTGGCACAGTGTGACAAGATCGAGGCTTGTATAGCGGACCACCAATCAAAGATCCAGTCGAAAAATCTCGCCCTGCCGGAGTAAGCGAAGTGTCCCATATCATGTGCTAATCATTGCTCTGTGAGCAGCTGTGTACAGAAAGCTTCACGAGTGGATGCGATCTTTGTCTATTTATTGTTGGGTTGATGTGTATGAGAGAGCCCTCATCACAGTGAGTCCTGAGAACAGAAGGAGGCTGGTTCTTGGCTCTATGTTAGGTACATCTGGGATATGTCCTCTGGATTCAAGAGAAATGAAGAGCTCCTCATGAAATCATAACAACAAACACTCTGTGAAAGTGTTTTGATTTGTGGCAAATAATGTAGATCAGAGGTTTTCAAAATGTGAGCCCTGCCTCCCCAGAGGCACACCAAACTATTTAAAGGGAGCTTAGTGAAAAAATATATAGACAATCGCATAGAAAAACCTAAATTAGTTTGGTTAAAGCTTTTGGGAATTGTACTGTTTTTATAACTTTCCCAGAGTCAGAGACTGAGTAATGCCTTAAGACAGACTTTTTTAAAATGTATTTGGTGTAGTGTAAGTTGTGTGAAAAAACTATTTGGCCATGTCGCCTCAATTGTTAAGTGGCTATTGGATGATAGGCATCCATGATTTGAGCAAAACAAAGCTAATCAACAAAGCAAAGGGGGGTCGCCTTTCCCAAGCTTTGAGTTTTGAAAACCTCTGATCTCTCTTTAAAGCCCCAAATAACTACCATGGTCAAATTATTCAAGAAATCTGTTAAAACGTCATCAGTTTATCGTTAAGTATCTCAAATGGTTCAATAATACAGAGAACATGTTGTTCATCTCATTGTGGTGTACCGACTGTTTTGATGTAGAAGTTTGTACACACCTGGACAAAAATATGTGGACATTAATGACCATCAATCTGCATACAGATTTCAGTCTTTTAGAAAATGGGTCTATCACCAACTAGTATCTTATATATGGTAAACATACGGTATATGGTCATTTGAAACTCAACGACTGTTAACATCTTTTGTTATTTGAAAGTAAAGCAGCTATTTTGTTCATATATTTGCCGCTCTTCTTCATCACATGCTAGTAAACTGAATATGTTTAGCTTTCAGACAAAAGGGAACATTTGACAGGCCTTTTTAAAAACATGTTTTTTTTTTTTTTTCAGTTAAAAGTTGCTACACTATTAAAAAAGAAAGAACAAGAAGTACATAATGCTGTCCACAAACCTTTTTGCCATATGTTGTGTATTTATATTTCTACATTGAGTCAGCAGCTCTAGTTCAATCCGGTGACTGATCCTGTGAACTTGCGTACCTTTGAAATTTAGTGTGCACTGTTGAATTGTTATTGATCTAATTCATCATTAAAACTGACACATCACATCTATTTTCCTTTGTTTTAAAATAAAATATTTGAAAATGCAATAGTGTCTTGGTGAATCATCTCTGAACACAATCTTAGAACTTCAATTTGCTACAAAGAAATGACTCGGACTCCTTTTTTCAGTTTATTTCCAGCTTTATCCATGATGGTCTTTTAATACATTTTACTAGCTTATACAGACCCTTCATTTTTCACAGATGTGCAAATGAGCTTTGAGAGTAGTGGTTGAGGAGTTAGAGGGGGGGTCCAGTGGTACACTGTGTTCCCACAAGCAGCTTAAACAAATGACCTTCAGTAAGCTATACAACAGTGAAGCTTGCCAAGTAACAGGATCTAGCTGGTCTAACCCATAATAACAACAATGTACATCTGTCACTAATCATCTTTGTCCTTAGCGCCGTGCTTCAGTATGCGTGTGAATGCTACATAGTTGAAGTTGCCTTTCTTGTCAATGGGCGCCTCACGGAAGAGCTCGTCCACGTCTTCATCCGTAAACCTGTCTCCCATGGTGGTGAGCAGCTCCCGCAGGTTGTCCTCTTGGATTATACCTGAGGGAGAAGTCGATCCATCTGTTAGTGGATTTACAAAAAAAATTAATCAACAAATACAAATAAAAAGAGTCATGTTCTTTGAAGTCATGAGCATTTTCAATCATCATTCACCAGGTGTTATATAAAGGAATACATACCAAACATATATTTACTCTATGACAATCACCAATTCCATTTATGGAGCTAGAATAATAAAACTTCTGTATAATATTAATAATAAATGTTGTAAATAGTCATAAATGTGCCTTAAAATGCTTAGAATAAATGGATAGATTACTATAAAATGCTCAAATGTAATGTCTTATTGTTGTCACAAACCCTTTCCCTGATGCAGATTTTTCAAATTAAACATTTATTAACAAATGGATGTTAATATCAAATGTTAAAATTCAACGGGAATACAAATATTCCTTTAAAAATCTTCTATTTTTTAACCAGCAGTTACCTCTCCAACGGCACCTACAGTATCTATGCATCTGTGCAAGTAATCAAAAAAGCAAATCATATCATTCAAACATGTATTTGTCCAAATGTTTTGGGATTTGTTGACCAAACCAAAAGGTCGGTATGTAAAGTAATTATACTACTAAATAAGAATTACAAGATAATGAAAATAGCTAATAGCAGCTCTAATCCAAATCAATTTGTGAATTGAGGATATAGAAAAATTATTGCTATTTTTCTACTGTTTTGATTTTGGGAAAGAACAATGAATATGTATAGAAAAACTCACCAGTGGCCTCTTCGTCAAAGCAGGCGAAAGCGTTACGGATCACATCCTCAGGATCTGTGCCGTTCAGCTTCTCCCCGAACATGGTCAGAAACATGGTGAAGTTGATGGGGCCCGGCGCTTCGTTCATCATCTCCTCCAGGTACTCATCTGTAGGGTTCTTACCTGCGGCACAATAAGAGGAAAGAGAATGTATTATACATCACACCCAGCACCCATTCTGAAAGTCTGAGGTGTTAACACATTTCTCTTCCTGGATTGAATCTCTTCATCTCTCATTTTGAAAGGTTACTTGAACAACCAGCATTTAGCCCAGTTCTAAAAGATGGACATTAATCTATGATAGTAGGTCACATCCACATCTTCCCCCTCACTGTCTCAATGTGTTCAAATACATTTGTTGGGAAAATACTGAATGTAATCTTCCAATATCAGAGTAGCACATGATAACAAAGGCCCTACGTAGCTGTGTACGTAACAGGATGTATGATTACCTAGAGGAGCATCAGGACTGTTTTAGGCACATGATAGCTATGTGACATGATTAACATGATGATTAGCTAATCTAAACTAAACATTGTATACCGCTTTGAACCGGTATTCCTCCATCTTGTGACTGTGATACACTCTCTTGTTTATAAGCATGTGAAAGACACTGTTCTGGGAACGAGTTGTCCCAAATGCTCTGTATGTGATGACTACTTCCATTCTTGCAAGCATAATAAATACATGTATCCTGATTATTGAAACTCAAGCCGGTGACGAGTGATATTTTTCTAACAACATTGTAAAGTTTACCTAATGAGGCCAGCATGTCATGAAGGTCTTCTTTGTCAATGAATCCATCCCGGTTCTGGTCGATCATGTTGAAGGCCTCCTTGAACTCCTGAATTTGAGACTGGTCAAACATGGCGAACACATTGGAGGTGGCGCGCTGAGGGCGCTTCTTGGTGTTCTTTCCCTTGGCCCTTTTGCTCGACATGATGGCAGTTGGTTAGTTTCCCCTTCCTGTAATACAGATCAAATGAAGGATGTAAACTAGAGCTTGAATTGGATCTGATATGTACATCACTATTGTGAAATTTGTGAAAGTTACAATAATATTTGAATTCCATCTTATTCTCGCTTATGCATTTGCCTTGGTAAATTGCATTAATATTTATCCAGGAAAGGATTATTTAATCAAAACAAACTTGTGATTCTAGCCCAACTTAAAAAAACACAATGACAAATTTCAAGCAAAACCTAAGGAATTATTTACAGTATAAAAGTAAGATTGGCCTATAATTTGTGAAAATGACTCGAATTTAACTCAACACAAATGATTGTTTCAAACATGTTAAGACTCCATGTCACAATCTCCTAATGAAAAACAATGAATTTTGGTTCAAATACACTGTTTTACCTCGTTGTCAACAAAGCTAGTGTAATCCTATGACAGTTATATTGTATGATCTCTGTTTTAAGAATAACTAATACATATAGTGCCTCAGTATGTAGTCTAAGTGCATGTTGATGTGTGTGTACCTTTATATGTAGTCTAGGTTATCTTTGATTAGTTACGCATGTAAAGGGTAGAGAGACTCTCTGTTATGTGTCCTCTGATAAACTGATGTGGAAGGTATTTTGGTTGTATTAGTCGACAGCTAAAAAGGTATACATTGTGAATGCACTTTTACAGGTTTGACCAAAAGAAAGCGCTTGTCTGACAGATTATAAATACTGATTATTAAAATAAGGCAACAAATGGCGCCGTTTAATGATGTGGACCCTTGTATTGGACCTTTTACTACATATTAATAACATGTTAGTTGGTATTCACATTTAAGTTTCATAGGATTCTGATTATTATCTGCTAGGACTAAATCTAACTCAGCAAGAGAACCACAATGTCTGATGATAAACCGTAAGCATATCACACATTAGCTAACAACACAAATTCATCGATTTGCGAAAGCAATTTCCTATGTTTTATTTATAACAATACATTTTTGCTACCTAACGTACTTCCGAAATCCGATGTAATGTTTACTAAACATTACATTTATAAGCTAATAGCTAGCCCAATGTTGACCTCAATAACGGACCAGACGAGCACGAGCTAACCGAAATCCATTCACAGCACAACAATATCAACTTAATGTGGCCTTAATGTGCACAAGATTCAGAGGCTAAATTAAATCACCCACCTCAGAAAATGCAGGCGTTATTGCCAAATGTGTATAGAGAGGGCTACTAGATCCTCCACAGAATAATAAAGAGCAACCATCAATGTTTTATTTCCTGTCTCCCCAACTGACCAATCAGAGCCGAGCTGGACGGAGCCAACTGACCGGAAGATACCATGTTGCCCCCATTTCAGTTTGTTAAATCATGTTTTTCCATTTAGATATTTAAATATTGACGGGTGGTCATACTGAAAATACATGTTGGATTGTTTAATTTAAGCTCGTATTTCGATAATGTCATTAAATGTGTCTAAACGAACAATACTGCAGTGTATATGTCCCACCACTAAATGGCAGCAGTTACAAATATACATTCCAACGTTTATTTTGCAGCTTTTTTACGTCTCAATAATTGAATTGTGGTGCAGAGATGTCGGTCTATTATGTGATTTTGCACCAGAGAGGAAATGCATATTGGTCCCAAACGAGCAGCTTGGGAAATGTAACTGTTCATTTAGGGAAATAGAGACATTTAAAGCGCTTTGAGGTGACATGTTGGTGCAGACCAGCCATTATGGCCGGTGAATACAACAAGGGTTTTAATTTGGAGAGGGAAACATGCGTTAGTGACTTCGCCCCTTGTCTCTAAACGTTTAAGAAAAATGCTTTGCAACAGATTATGAAACCTATTCAACATTCATTCAAGGTAGCAGTCAAACGTGAACTGCAGCTTTTCATCTATTTACTCATTTACAAGGCCTTATATTTCTCACTAGGAGTTCCCACATACACAGTCTCTGGTTCCCACGTTTCCCTGAAGCTTGGACACCGTGGAGGGCCAGGCGAGCTGAGGAGCCTGGGCTCGGCCTTCTCATGGCCTCATGGTCTAAATTTAAAGCTGTCCCAGCCTTAAAAGGTCCTGACGGCGTCTTGCACATTCTGCCAAGTGGCAGCATTATTTTTGTTCAGTGGACTGCCGTCCTGTCCACCGCCCCTCACCCTGCTGCTTTCCCAGGATCTGGACTTGCTTTAGCTACTTTTGGAATTAGCACACCTTTTATCTGATTTTCAACTTTTGTGGATTGGTGAATCCTTAGTTGTGGTGAGTGACATATTTATTTGTTTATTTATAAGACTGTCTTTAATACTGAATAATTGTTATTTCAGTTTGTCATCTGTCATTTTGGAAGCAGTAAGGCTTGAGGCCTCCTTTAACAACTTTAGTAATGTTTTTAGTTTATTGATGTATTATTCATTTTCTTCATGCCTTTATAATAACAGTATATTGTTAATCTGTATCTATTGTGTCCTTGCAGAATATTGCATGTGTCATTGAAGTCAAATGTCATCTTAAAAGTAAAGTTAATCTTTGCCATTAACATTTGCTTAACCTTTAACGTTTTTATAACCCAGGATTTATCTTTGCAAACTCATTGCCCTCATGCTTGTAGTCCAGTGTACTGTTTGTTTCTCTTCACAAATGGATTCACTCTTTGCCTACACACTGCCTGTTGTAGGTGTTGGACATAGCTATACAAGTTTTTGGAGTCTCTTGTCATAAATTGCAGATCTCTCCTCTCTGATCTCTGGTTACATGATGATGGGCCCTGTGGGAGCTGATCATCATGTTTTCAAGCTGTAACACTTCAACAGTGGTTACTAGAGCTGAAATGATTTGTCATTTGATTGATTGTTGACTCCACAGAAAACTTTTTTGGCAACATTCTTGATAAACTGATCATTTATTCCACGAAATGTTGAAGCAAAAATGCAAAACGATGTGAATATTTGCTTCCTTTGAGCATTTGACTTATTATTGACCAATACAAAAAGGCTTTAGGAAATATTGAAGTGCATTGTTTTCTATAAACCAAATGATAACATGATTGATTAACAAAATAATCAACCACAGTACATAAAAGAGTGTTATATCTAATACTGCTATATGTATATAGACTTTTATTGACTATAAGAGATAGTTAAGAAATAACAGAACACAGCAGTTTTGATTCTACCTTCTCCTTTAACCCAAGTTTGTCACTTTTTATATTCACACCTGTGAAAGAAAGTAGTCATTTTAATTGTAATGGTATTTCTACCCCAAAAAGGAGTTAAGGAATGCTGCCACAGCTTGTTTGCTACCTGCTGTTGCGTCATTTAACACAGAAACATTGATCTTAACCAACACTTTAACTGCTCAAAAACCAAACATCATAACGTCATTTTAACAATTTAACAACCTTTCATACTTAATCCCTTTCTCCTGGCCTAAACTAACCTCAAAATTAATTAATTAATAATTAAGTCAACCTGTAATGATAACAATGAGATTGATTTCCAGAGCTGGTTAAGTAAAGAACAGTCAACATATAAGTTGGCGGAGAGGCCCTCAAGATGTCAGGATCAGTAACGGTGACGCAGAAGCTGCAGCAGCATCAGCAGGAACATCAGCAGCATCACTTTGAGAGCAGCTTTCACCTGAGCACCAAGTCGTCTGTTAGCCAGCAATCGTTCTCCGCTTGCAAGACCAGCAGCCGTCGGTAAGAGGATGGGAGGTCCAGAAATACTGAGATGGTTGATTTTGAAAAATGTAAAAAAAAAGACTTTCTCTAAATGTAACTTGACTCTTCCTAACATCAGAAGTGCTGGAGGCATTCCAGCAGACCTCTTTCCAATATTCAACGTTGCAGTAGGAAAAAATAAATGCACAACTAAAGATTTGTTTTTATATAGAGCATACTGCCCTAATATGCCCATAAAGTAGATGTTCATCCTAAAAGGAGGTCAGGATTTACAAAGTGTTCTCCTTGATGCTGTTCAAGTCAAGTCCCAAGACGTGTTCTTTGAGGGGTAATTATAAGATAGCCTACAAGTCACTCAGATGTCTCAATGCTGACCAAAACCAGTATATTTTTCTTTCAACGCTCTGTTTGTTGTGTCTTTAAAAGCTTAAAAGCAGGAATTTCAATGATGAGGCCTAATAATTGAATATTCCCAACTTTGTAGGACTTTAAGAGGTCAAAACCTCTGACTGTTTTTGAGTTCAAAACTCAAATCAATTCAGATTGGTAGGGACGTTTAATTAAGTCAAATTTTAAAGTGGTCAAATCCCATTTAAGTTTAAAGTGTTTATTTTTGTTATTTAAGCCTGAGTCTAAGTCTCAAATCTTGATTCATCAGTTCAAGGCTGTCATGAGACAGGTTAGTTTTACCATTCTGATGATGAGTTGTTGCAAAAGTAACGAGAGGAATCACAGGTTCAGACATTTGGTTTATGTGCCTGGCTGAGGACCTGATGGTTTGTAACTATCTATGTAGCAATAGTATTGTGCTCTAGTATCTAACAGAAAGAGCACATTATATACATTTACTTAAAAGTTGACCATCTTAGAAATGTCTGAAGCTAAGTATCTCTAACTATCAGCATAACATTCAGTCATCCAAATCCCATGAAAGTACATTATATGGGATAAAGATGAAACAATTAGGCAGCAATTGAAAGTTGTTCAACAGCGCAAACAGCAGCTGTTTTTCATAATAGATTAATGTTAAGTTTAGCTGTTTTTTGTTTGTTTTCTGTGGTGGTTACATATATTAGGCTTTTGGACTGATATGGGACAAAATAAGCAATTTTTAGATGTCAACATTTAAAGTGTGCAATACATTTCGCATTACTTTATGATATTTTAGAGACTGCTGTCGGGTTGATTGAGGAAATAGTTGATGGATGAATCTGTAATATAAGTGGTTCTTATAGAGAAAATATAGATTTCCTGAATCTTTCAAGCCTTACCGTTATAACACAGGCCTGCTCCAGGAATGAATCTTGTCATTCCTAATCATACACAGGTGCGGTAAATATACAGTCACATTTTAATTTAATTTTCCTTCCACTTAAAATTCTGTGTTAAATGGCAAAACAATGGTAAGTGTCTGATACAAGTGTTGTGTGAAAGGAGCACTGTTTATCAAACGTTGCGCCCTAGCTCTGTATACAGTATATGGTGGCAACTATTGTCAACATGTATGTTCAGTAATTATTAGTCCTTTAAGCTGCAGGGCTCTGTCAGTGTACATGTTGGAACCATGAGAGCTTTCTAAACGGGGTCAGGGAAAGAATTTCAGCTGCAGTGAGCGGCTGCCAGAGATATCCATGGGCAGAGAAGCTATTTCTGTAGGCAGGACATGAGACGCTGCCAATAGGCCAACTGTAAAGAAACTGTATGCAAGTCATGAAAATATAAAGGCTTGTGCCACCATCAAGGTTTAATAATTATTGGTTCAGTATTGACAACATTGTATCTGTTAGAAATAATTGATTGCATTACAATTGTTACATTTATTACTTAAAATCTTAAGATTGACGTACAGTGCAGCTTGTCAGACTGATTTAATAAGCCGTAAAACTGTTTCACTTCCTTACACACTAAGCCAAAGACGCACCTGGTGAGTCAGCAGTATAAATAACTTTTTGACACTGCAGAAATCTTTTGGTGAGTCCCTCTCCATCTATCTGTCTGAGCCCCTTTCATCGACTTGATCCCGCCTCGTCAGTATGGAGAAGAGTTTATCAAAGCCACTTTATGCTACTCTATTCCTGTAGGACTAATGGGGAGACTGAGACAGATATGGAAGAGATTATAAGTGAATGCAGGGCTTTAAAATGAACGTCTCAGCCCTGAAGGCATATCCTCCAGTTCTGGCTACATTTATAAACCCAGCTGACAATAGGGAGGCCTGAGAGGTAAATGAGTCACAGTGTAATATGGGTCAGAGTCCTGGAGGATGGACAGAAATACATCTTCCTTTTATAAGTAACAAGACATGTTCTGAACGTGTCTTTTTATAGTTAGCACACTTAAGTACATAGATGCAAAGAGCCAGTATGGGTCGTGGTGAGTTTTTTTTAGATTCAACTGCAGCTTTGTCATTCTTTAGGTGTCTCATTTGTCGTCATTACGAGCAAAAAACTGTAGAAAATACTTGGTCTACTTCTAGTTCAAATAACTACATACAAGCGGAAGTGCTGTATGTACTCCATTTACAGGTGTGATTTATCCAATGGTTCATCTTTAACTAATGAGAATTAAATTAGCTAAATTGTTAGTAATCAAGAATGAGTATTTTAATTTACTTTGTATCAATAATATGCTTTAAGTGCATTAGTAACACTAAAGTTAGTTACCATTTTTTTTAATTCAATCAATGGATAAAACTTGCAGTATTTTTTTCATGTCCAGAAAAAACATAAAATGACGAATACGAAGATTATATTAGTCCCTGTGTATAAGGGAACTGAAGAAGTACATCTTTGAAAATGGGTCACAATCATTTAGTTTGTTAAAAAAAAACAGCTGGGCACTAGTTTGTATCAAAGGTTACTTAAACAGAAATAAATAGTGTATTTGTTGGAAACTATTTACAGCCGCACATTAATACACGTTGGTATTCATAGCAGCAGGACAGTGTGTGTCGGACTGAGTTAAAATAAACTTCACTGCCCATGTTTATTGCAATCACAGAACCCAGTGCAACACAATGGCTTATTTGTGTGTTTTTATGGAAGAGTATGGGAGAAATAAACTATATGGGGACTGTATCGACAGACAAAATCAATAGAAGGATTACATATTGATAGAAATGTACTGCCAGTAGGTAAGACATAGAATATTATTAGCTGTGTCCTTGAAGAAAGGCTTAAGCTTTTGTGGCTCTTTTGCAAAAACAAATGTGGCATTTAATGTATTTGAAATACTTAATGATTTACTGAATGTTGTGTTTTCTTTTGCAAGTGTTGTGATTGTTGTCTATCGCCTCTAAGCCTGCAGACCACTGTGAAGACAAAGAAGGGGCAGGAGGTGGTTAAACTGAGCCCACTACCCAAGAGAGCCAAACGCACCTACCTTGCAATGGACATGGACAAGGAAGTCATCGGCTATGTCATTCCCGTATTTAGAGCCAAGTGAGTGAAGACACTACAAGACATCATTGATTGATATTTCTACATTCAAAGCAGTCAATACCACTGTTTCAAGATATTGATGTAGTCTTTTGAATCTAAATGAAGTATTTTCTAAAGTTTAAACTGATCTTATATGTCTGTGTTTTGTTGTTCATCAGTCATGAAACTGTTCGCGGTCTGATTGAGTCCCACGAGGAGGATGTCACGGAGGAGGGGATTAACTATGTGGCCATGAGGAACCTGTTTGTCAGGGAGGCCAGGGAGGCTGTGGAGGTCAAAAAGGTGGAGAAGAAAACCAGAACCACGCATATCAGGGAAGTGGCCGGACGCATGGAACTGGGCAAGACTGTAAATCCTTTTGATTCCTTTTGTGAATTTGTAAAAACAAGATTGTGTCCTTTTCCAAAATCAAACAAGCCTGCAAATGCTTATGAGCTTTATGTGACAAACTGCATCTCTTTTGCTAAAGTTGGAGGAGTGGGCAGAGTTCCGTAAGAAGATGAACCCAGACAGCCTGACACACCTTCCAGAGTTTATCATCAAGCCCCGTGGACAAACTGTCTGGGAGGGGAAGACCGTGAAGCTGCACTGCACTGTGGCTGGATGGCCCAAACCTAGGATCGCCTGGTAAGACACACTCCAACTCCTCTGAGTCACAAGGCAAAGAGGCTGCTGAGAGGGGATCAGTCGTGTGTGTGTGTCATAGAGAAGTTTCCACCCAAAGCCCTCGTCATCAGACAATTCTGTTTTCCACCGTCGCAACACAAACACACACACACTCCTCTGTAATTACAGCCTCTGAAGACAACGGTAAAAATAAACCTGCTGTCTTTCTCCTGTCTTCAAGGTACAAAAACAATGTGCTCATTGATGCCAAGGCCAAGCCCGAGAAGTACACAGTTGAGAACAGTTACAACATGCACTCCCTGGAGATCAAGAAGTAGGTAATCATTTAGCTCCCACTGCATTCAAATTAATGAGATGTACCCCAGAAAATGCACATTACCCCAAACTGAAAGATTTATGTTCAAAATAATTCTGAAGAGATGCCGGTTATTCACCATGTCTGCATTTTTATTTCCAGCTGTGATTTCCTTGACACTGCTCAGTATTACGCCTCTGCCCTCAATGTGAAAGGAGAAGCTTCCTCTGTGGCTTATATTGTTATCAAAAGTAAGTCACCGCTTTTTCTCATCTGTCTTCTCTGCAGCTGCCCATGTCTAATACGGTTAAAGGTCGAAGTTCAAAGTAGTTTAGATCAGCACCACTCACACAACATGATCTGGTATGAAAGGATCAAGGCTGACTGAAAGAAAGGTCCTTAATTTGACCATCAAACTATATGCAATATGTGCTATATGTGCAATTTATACATTATATACATATGCCATTAATAACTGTGTAATATATACCTGGCTGCTAAATCCTAAGAACTGTTACAGGATTTGTATTTTGAAAAGTATGTAACTTTTTTTTTTTTTTCCTTTCTTTTTAATTATTTTTTATTATATCATAACTTAGCACTTTTTTTTAACATATGTAACATTAAGCTGTCTGTGGCTCTTTTCTGCTGTAACGATGCAAATGTCCCCTCTGTGGGACTAATAAAGGTATTCTGATTCTGATTCTGATTCTGATTAATTTCAAGCTTAAAATAAAGATTTTGTGCCGTTTAGCATAGTTTACTAATGTGTATTTCCGAAATATTTTGTGACTTACACTACAAGGTTACTGAGTGATATTTTTCTCTGCAGGGTTCCAGGAGGGCGCAGAAGCGGGCCCACTCGATCCTAAACCACGTGAGTAACTTTTTATTTTAGTTTCAAGGATGGCCGGTGAACTTCAGTTGTATATCACAATTCACATTTAACATACACACTGTAAAAGTGTTCTATACGAGACATAAAATAAGTAGAAACTTAAGCTGCATACAATTCTATATAAGCAATTAAAAATGATGACAATGTATACTGTAAAACCCAATAGTCCCCCTTAGCTCAGACGTGTTTTAGCGTCTTTGAGCTCATTTTTTGCAGCATGGCAGGTTAGCATTTAGCTGCTGAAGAGCCACATGTGATTTACTCAAGAGGTGGTGGAGACCAAAAACAGAGATAAAAGGAGAGTAAAAGTTGTACTTTTTCATATGACACACCTTCATATGAATCAATTATTCTACTCCGTGTGTAAGAAATAAAACATGTTTACCATAAGCTAATGACATGTCATTGCTGTCATTCAAGAAGTCAATTAATGTAGGTGAAATTGTTGTTTTTTAATTTATTTATTTTCTTATCTGTAGATGGTTTCTGCGCTGAGCACGGTGTCACCTTTAGAACCACCATCATTGAGAAATTTGAAGTGGCTTTTGGCAGTGAAGGCGAGACAATGAGTCTTGGCTGCACTGTCATTGTTTATCCCACTGTGAAAAAATACCAGCCTGAGGTCGTGTGGTACAGAGACTGTAAGTAGAAAAATGAAATGTGAATATTGCTTAATTTTCCTCTTAAAAAATATTGCAAATGACCTTTTAATGTATGTACCTTTATGTATCCATTCATTCATTCTTGAGTTTTAACTTCTCCCATCAGCTGTCCCATTGAAGCCCTCTAAATGGGTCCAAACCCTCTGGTCTGGGGAGCGTGCCACACTCACATTGGTCCACCTCAACAAGGAAGACGAGGGCATGTACACCATGCGTGTCAACACCAAATCTGGCTTTGACACCTACTCTGCTTATGTGTTTGTGAGAGGTAAGATGCCCGTAGATATTTCATCTGAAGCTGATTTCATTACAAATTGACAAACTGTTGAAAATCAGTTTCTTAGTGTTGTATTATATTGAAAATTGAGATAAGCTATGAATCCAAGTATGCGCTTAATCGTACAGTTTGGAACAAAAGTGATACGTGCGAAGTAAAGCAACGCATTTGTTATCACCACAAACACAGAAGTGGTCGGGAACCATTCATTTCTGCTGTGTCTTTAAGTGACATAACTCTCTGAGGTGTTTGGTTTCCTCAGAGGAATGTTGGTTCTATATCTGTCTGCATGTCACAGAGAGGGTGATCTAATATAACAATCAGCAGTTTATGAGGACTTTTCAGATTCCCCTTTTATGTTACCAACATGTAAACTAAGTTATTATAGCTACAGTGCTGCCGGACACGCTCTACTGTAATGGCGTAAGTGGGTCAGAAAATGGAAGCTTAGAATGTAATGGAGATCAGCCTGATTTAGGAAACAGCACCACTCACAAGTGTGCCCTCTGTGATATGGTGTTGCTATTCCAGATGCTGATGTGGAGGCGGAGGGGCTTCCCGTGGCTCCCCTGGATGTGCACTGTCATGATGCCAACAAGGACTACGTGGTGGTGACCTGGAAGCAGCCGGCGGTGGAGGGCAGCAGCTCCATCCTGGGATACTACATTGACAGGTTGGGATGCTCAATATTTCTTTTATTACGTTAATTATTTGCCAGATAATTAATTATTCAATTTTATCTGATCTCTTTTTGCAATTATACAGTCTTCCATTCAGGATATACTGGTTCTATCTATGCTGCTTATTGTAATGCTAACTCTGCAGGTACAATGGCACTAGCTCAACCTTTTTCTAGATTTGGACCAAACTGCCATCTTGACAAATAAATGTCACTTTCTAGATTTGTTCTTAGGCAAGCCCATGAACTAATTGTGTCGGTTATGGGCACAATTGGGTTGGATCACATGTTATAAATTCAATGTGTTTTTCTGTGCAGGTGTGAGGTGGGCACTCACCACTGGGCTCAGTGTAACGACGCCCCGGTGAAGTACGCCCGCTTCCCCGTCACCGGTCTGGTGGAGGGCCGCTCCTACGTGTTCAGAGTGCGCGCCCTGAACAAGGCAGGAGTCAGCCATCCATCCCGTGTCTCCGAGGCTGTGGTTGCCACGGATCCCTCCGACAGAGCCCGCCTCAGAGGTAAACAATTATACATCATGGACATATCTGTAAAGTGATTCTTTTGGATGTTACTTTGTCATGTGTCATTTTGTGTCAACATTCCCTTTTTTACTTTGCTTTTTTGATTCTTAAGATGCCGTAACATGCACATTTTCTGGTGTGGAATCAATCAAGTTCTTATCTTATGTTATTTTATCTTTACTTTTCCCAACAGCTGGCCCCTCAGCTCCTTGGACTGGGATTATCAAGTTCACAGAGGAGGATACCACCGGTAAGGCAGCTTTAAACTCTATTTAGGTGTTGTCTGTTGTGACAGCAGTTCAAACTCAAATGGCATGTTATAATGACTTCAAGGGCAGGGTATCAAACATAAATACATTCTCCATATTATCTGAGATTTGTAAGTCTAGTTTAATCATTACTTAAATGGATTTTTCCTGACTTTTTTTCAAAAGATGTTAGACATTAGGGACTCAGGGAAAGTTGCTTGTTAGGCACTCGTAGGAAAACACGATTCTATTCCTCAAACTAAAATACTGAAAGTAATTTCTTTTGTGTTTTTGTGTTTTTAAGTATTTAAGGTTTTTGAATGATAACCATCCCAAGTGACTTGTTTAAGTGAATTTCTCTGTGATCCTCAGTGGGTGTTGTCCCCGGAGAACCCTCTGATGTTGTGGTTACTGAGGCGACCAAGAGCTACGTGGTGCTCGCCTGGAAGCCTCCGATGCAGCGCGGTCATGAAGGAGTCATGTATTACATCGAGAAGGTGAGGAGAGGTGGTGGAAACATGCATACAGTGATGAAGAGATGCAACATGAAAGATCACATTGCCTTATTATAAGCTACAAGTCACATGGCAGTGGTGGAATGTATGTAAATAAACTGTTACTCTTCTTTCAAATGTTCTTCTACCCCACTACCTTTAAGAGGCTCTACGTGTGTCTGACATCTTAACTTACCTCTCCGAATACAGTTTTTCATCCTCTTCCTTTCCAGTGAAAACCATGTTTCCCTAGATTTGTGGTGAAATGTTGTGATAAACTGTAGGATTTAATGTTACTTTATGTGTTTAAAATGTTTCTCCTTTTACACAAGATTAATATCATTTTCAAAAACCCTCTTGGATTAGCTTGAAAATTCACAAAGCCGATGTTTTCTCTGAGCTCATTGAAAGTTTAGTTTTAAGAAATACATTGTTACCCCGTACATATCATGATTTTAAATGAATATGATGCATTTCTATAGATTAAACTACTCAATAATGTGCCAAGGAGTACAACTTTAAACATTAACAGCAGTTTAATACAACATACAAAATAATGCAACACATATTTATTGTATAAGAAGCCTTTCCTTTACCGTTGTCTGCTTCTTTACTGACATGTCCTTGTCTCTCTGTCGCCTGCAGTGTATTTCTGAGTCAGACACCTGGCAGAGGGCGAACACCGGCATGCCAGTGAAGTCTCCTCGCTTCGCCCTGTTCGACCTGGCAGAGGGAAAATCTTACAGCTTCCGTGTTCGCTCCTGTAACTCCGCTGGTGTGAGCGAGCCCTCTGAATCCACAGGAGACATCACGGTCGGAGATAAACTGGGTGAGCCGGCCAGGCCTGCATTTAAATATTATGTACAGCTTGTTATTGCTGTATTCCTTCATTAGTTAGTTAATAGACTGTTGTTCCCCTCTGCATTATGTTGATCCAAACATAACATCTTCCATATTTTCATACACATCTCTCTTTTAACAGACCTGCCCTCAGCTCCTGGCAGTCCAGTAGCCACCAGGAACACCAACACCTCCGTGGTCGTCTTCTGGAGCGCCTCTAAGGATGTCAAACACCTGGCTGGCTACTACATCGAATACAGTGCGGTGGGCACAGATGAATGGACACCTTGCAACAACAAACCTGTCAAGAAGACCAGGTAAGTGCAGCTAAAGATAAAACTAGGTTCATGAATTCACAAGTCATTCATTGCTTAAAAATATGAATTGATTCCATTTCAAAGAAGATTAAAGGGGATATAATGTGCAAAAATGAAATACTAGTTGAAGTTACATCACATTTATCTCAGTGTTATTGTCTTTGTTGTCACCATTTTGTTTGGTGATGAATAGCTGGTGACTTAACAGACATTTATTTGAATTACACTAAGTAGATTCATTTATTACAAAACTACACTAACACAATTTGCTCATGGTTGTCGGATCTACATTTTTGTATAGGCTCCATTGTTTTAGTTGTTGCTCCAGTGGATAAAATATATGATGTGTTACAGAAAAGTATTGAAGTCAGCTAAAATTAGTTAGTTCTGCAGGAATATTTGCTAACGTTAGCAAAACGCTACTTGTGATAACAAACCAAACAACTAACCTCCTGAGTGTATGGAATTAGGAAGTGAGTGTCTTTCATATATGGCTTTTGAACTTGTGTTTTTATTTGTACAATTAAGAACTTTAATATGTTTTTTGTGTTTTTGAAAGCGTACATATAGTCTCGCTTGTAAAAGTCGTGGTTGGTTAGCTAAGCTACTTTTGAATAGCTATTAGCAAGGGTGCTAATGCTAACAACATATTTCCCTTTTCTTTAGTATGACCCCAAGCCTTTGTGTAGCTATAAGTTACATTTTTTGTTTGTAATTGTATTGAATGCAAATGTAGCTTTTGCTATTTCTCAATCCTACTGTTGGTGAAATCTCAGAGTAAATATTATATGACTCTTTACACCTTTGACTGCTTTTAGGTTTGTGTGCCACGGCCTGACTACCGGGACAAACATCGTGTTCAGAGCGAAGGCAGTGAACGCTGCAGGATACAGCCTGAGCTCCGCCAACTCTGAAGCTGTGGTTGTGCAAGCTGCCATCTGTGAGTGTCATGATCACGTCCCTCATCTCCATTATTCACTTTGCCTCAAGCCATACTCTCCCCTTCTGCTACTTCCTCTCAGCTATTTTTAAACATACATTTATCCAGGGATTCACGGCTGAGAATGTACACTTGTATTTCAACACATTCACACACACCATCCTCATTTTTTTTCAGAAATCAGGTTAACTTTCATTATTTATTTTCCTTTTCCTTACCAAAAATCAGTTATTTAATTTAAATCAGATCACTTTAAATCACATAATAAAAGTTTCTGAGAGTTTGTTCAGAAACAGTTGCCCATTTATCTTGTCTTGTGCATGTTATCCTGAGTTTGATGAATGCAAGAGACACACAAATATGTGACTGCATGTTGATTTATTTGCATGTGTCTGCCTGTCATCGCTAATATTGACTGACTTTATCATATTTTGCTGTTTTCCATACCTTCATTTATTAATGACAAGGTTAAATAACAAAGTAGACAATGATTTACAATGCTTTTGCTGTATGCAAGTCTTGATTTCTGAGTTTTGTGTTGATATTTTGTAAAGGTGATGGCTAAAACATTTGTGTTCTTAAAGAGCATGAACATAATGAGAGTCTGGTGCGACTTTCGGAGATTTTCGTAGCGTGAAAGTTGTCCTGCTTCTGGCCTTAAGTGTAAGTACATTATACATTACAATGACCCTAATACAGTGTTGTTGCTTGTGTCCAAAGCATGTTGCATTGTTCAAATGTAAACTAATATGAACTAAGATCTATGTTATATTTTGCTTATTTCAGGCCATATTAGATGTCATTTATCATTAAAAGGAAAACAAAATGGGGTCTGAAAATCAGAATATTAGTTATTTCAACATACTTCTTCGCATTTCTCATAATAAATATTGACCACTTTATTAACTTTCTTTACAGCCATCTCTGGAAACCCCACCAATGTGACCCTGGTGGAGGCTGTGAAGGATTACATGACGCTGGCCTGGACTGAGCCCTCTTTCAATGGCGGAGCTGATATCCGGGGATATTTTGTGGACTACAGGACCGTGAAGGGAGGCGTTGTTGGAAAATGGCATGAGATGAACCACAAGGCACTGCCTGCTCCCTCCTATAAAGTAAGTGTGTTTATTTGTAACCACATTTCAATGAAATAATTTCAATAAATTAAGACCTCACAATGTTACGTGTCATTTCTAACTGCGGTTTTGACCTATTATCTCATGAAGCTCAAATAAGTTTATGTATTTGGTCATTCATTTTTGTCTGGAAAATAGCCCAAAAGAGGTGTTTTATTAATATCTCATTACCTTCATTTCTGTTTTTAGGCTGAGAACCTGAAGGAGAACGTATTGTACCAGTTCCAGGTGCGCGCTATGAACATGGCAGGTGTGAGTAAAGCCTCTCTGCCCAGCTCAGTGATAGAGTGCAAGGAATGGACCATTACTTTGCCAGGTATGAACAAAGAATAAAGGTATATGTCAGTACATATTAAAGAGGAAACAATTGGATGATTAATTAACTAGCCGATTGAGGCTGATGATGATCAATTAATCATTCAAAGTTATGAATACAAGAAAAACAGACTGAACCAAATAATGTTGAGACAATAGTCAATTACCAGTTTGTTTTGGGCACAATGCATTTCGGATAGATAATCTATTCATGAGACCATTAAAATACATTTTGTGTTTGGAAATATATATGTATATTTGTATGACGGAATTTCTTATTAAGTAATTGCTTATTCATTTAAAGTGTGTGTTTTTGACAAATACATTCTAAACACTATAAATAAACTAAACTACTCCTTACTAATATATTTACATAGAATAACTATATACATAACACAATGTGCACATGTATTGCAGTACACCTATATCACTGGATGTGTATTATTTTCTTGATGTGTTCACTTGTAAATATTTGTCATACTTACTTTCTTTTTGTGTTAACCAGTTCCAGTTTGTTTAAGATATTTCTTTATTCATGCTCCAAGGTGTTCCTGTGGGTCTGCATGCGCTGGAGGTCCGTGACACCTCGGCCGTGGTCCTGTGGGAGCCGCCTGTATTCAGTGGCCGCACTCCTGTCAATGGATACTATCTGGACCTGAAGCTGGCCTCTGCTGGAGAGGCAGGCTGGAAGGCTGCTCACGAGAAGGCCAACAAGGGCAAATACATGAAGGTGAGCAGGATATTTATAAGTTATAATGGATCTTCTTGAAATGCTTCTATTTTTTAGCAGAGGCAGGGTGTCCGCGGGGTCTTAAAAAGTATTAAAAGTTGATAAATCAATTCAGCGAAAATTAAGGCTATTAAAAAGTATTAAACGGCATTTTCCAAGGTATTACATTTTGTAGCTTGTTTTCAATACGTATATAAATTGTCCAAAGAGGTAGTATTCTACAGTTTGCCTGAATGTAATCATTGCGTAGGTGTGTAGCGTGATTCTGTGTAGTTTATTTATGGCATTCCGTTGGATTTGACGCGCGCTCACTGCTTGATAGCGCGCGAAGGTCCGTTTACGCCGGTTGTTAAACATCGTTTTGGGGAAATGCAAGTTTGCGTCCAAATGGTTGGAAGATAAGGAGGAAGGACAATCAATACTGTAGATAGTAAATGTGAGGTAAAGTGTGTCGCCAATGTAACCGGTTAAAACTCCAAGTGGCGATGAGGTCTTAAAATGTATGGAAAGGGTCTTAAAAAAGGTCTTAAAAGGTATTCAATTTGACTTCAGGATTCCTGCATATACCCTGAGAGGACATATTTTAAGTTTGATCAATATGGCCTTCAGCTTGTATCTTCATGGGATATTTTCATGTGAAATAAGGGCGACAGTGTTCTCTTAACTCTCTCTTCCTTGGATTGCTCACATGCTGCTTCAGGTGACGGGGATGAAGGCGGGTGCTTCCTACGTCTTCCGTGTGCGCGCTCAAAATCTGGCCGGCGTCGGAAAGTCCTCAGCAGCCTTAGGTCCAATCCTGTCCCAGACTCGCCCTGGTGAGTGTGATTGTTACATAACTCACACTTTCAATCACATAGTGTTCCTACGCAGGGCTGGAAAGAAGGGAACGTTTCTATTTCTTTATACTGATGTATGAATTTACTAGATGTACACACACTGTAATCATTTACTCTCATTTCCTCAGGCACCAATGAGATTTATGTGGATGTGGATGATGATGGTGTGATCTCTATGGTCTTTGAGTGCTCTGAGATGAAGGAGGGCTCTGAGTTTGTTTGGTCCAAGAACTACAAGACCATTACAGACACCTCTCGCCTTACCATGGTTACTGAAGGGGGCAAGTGAGTATCATTTGTGTGACCAATTCTTCATGCAACATCCAGGGACCAAAATAACTCTCTTGCTCTTGTTCAAGGCAGTTCTTTAAATTGTTCACATTTATTTTTGTATTCATGTGTCTTCAACTCCAGGCAGGGTTATCATCATGAAATAAATAATCAGAACAACAATTTATGTCATTTTTCATGACATTGGACAGAAATTGAACAGACTTGGTATTCCAGGCGAATGCACATGTTTAACAATTAATAATATTTTGTTATTTTTGACACGCAGTATAATCTTGACGAATTAAATGACAAAGTGATGGTTTACATATGGTTTCAAATGTCATTTAACAAAGCTACTTAGCTCAGGTAATGTTAACCAGATGGGGTCGGGATAACATTTACGGTTTCCTTTTAAATGTGCTAGTGAAAGAGTTGATTCCCAAATAAAAAAACAATGAAATATGATGGCCATTCCTACATCCTTATAATATGTTTTTGTTTGTATATTTAGCAATTATATCATTAGATATTACACATCTCTATATACATTATACCTGGACCTCACAAAATCATGCATAATATATAAAAACCTAACCTTTCAGAAGAACTGAAACCAAACAAAAACTAGCAAAAGCAGTCAAAATTAAAATCAATATACAATGAAAGATTTTAAACTATTATAACCTCGCCTGCAGGTCCAGAGCCATCTTCAACAGTCCCTCCCTGGAGGATCTGGGCACCTTCTCCTGCGTTGTCACCAACATTGAGGGCTTCTCCTCCAGCTACACTCTCACTGAGGAGGGTGAGTCGCCCACAGTCCTGGCATCTCTGCTTCTGAAACTTGATTCTCTTGTTATTTATTTTGGGTGATGTCAGTGCCAAAGGTGTGAGAAGGACTTGAAGGACTGTGTCATCATGTCTCTGTTGTCGTGTTTCAACAGCTGCGACAAATTGACCTCTGTTACACTCTGTGTTTGTCTTGTTCCCTCAAATTGTTCAGTGTGTGTATGTCTGTCAAGTTGTGTTTCAATTCAAGGTTCTACTTGACATGGAGTATTTTTAACTGCATACATAATAAGAAAACTGTCAGATAGAAGTAAGACTCATAGTTGATGGTGAAAGGTTTTGACACTTACACATTTTGTTGCTTTTGTTGTTACTCAACAGGTCTCAAACGTTTTCTGGACATCAGCCATGACCACAAGTTCCCAGGTGAATATCCCGCCACATCACAGATCCTTCTTATACCATGGTTTATGTTTCCCTTATCAAGAAGTTGCATATCTATCACTAACTAAAAAAAAAACTTTCTAAAAATACAGATCTTTCTTGGAAATTATAGTTACTAGGTGTGTGACGATAAATCAATTTGGATCAATGTATATTGATTCAATGAGCAATGGTCAAACATCATCAAAACTAATTGATAATATCAATCTTATCATGTTTTTTGAGATATTGCTTTATTTTTTTATTCTTAACCGATAATAATGCAAGCATTACAAAATGTGGCACATTAGTCCAAACAGGAGGTGTATTTCTTCTTCCATTTTAAATGTCTGGAATAGCCCAATAAAAATAATTTATTTTTGCAGTTGGAATAAATGTAACTTATTGTATTAAAATTGGCATATGATATCTTTGTAAATTAGTCCCAAGCCTGTGAATTGAAGGCATTAAAAATCAGGGCAGACTACTGTGAATGTAGTAGTTACCAAGCCATTGTTACATGCATAGCTTATACAAAAACATTAAAAAAATGTGCTTGTCTCCAGTTATCCCCTTCAAGAGTGAAATGGCCATGGATCTGCTGGAGAAGGGTCGCGTGCGTTTCTGGACTCAGGTGGAGAAATGCAGCTCCGCCTGCAATGTGGACTATGTCTTCAATAATGCCATCATTACTGACAACAAGGTAGGAATAAAAACATCACACGTTGTCCTGTGTCTTTTGGGATGGTGAATGTTCCACAACCTGATCTTGATTGGGATTTTATATCTTTTTGTTTCCAGAAATACACAGTGAACTTCAACAAGTCCACCGGAATCATTGAAATGTTCATGGACTCTCTGGAGGTTACTGACGAGGGAACGTTCACCTTCAACCTGGTGGACGGCAAAGCTAAGGGGACGACCAGTCTGGTGCTCATTGGAGATGGTAAGACCTCAAATGTCCCTTAGAAAGACAAATATGAATTGCACTTTTTTTCCCCTTGCGTTTGTACATTTTTCTTTTTTAAACTTGAGAGACCCAAACATTTTTAAATCAATACAAATAGAAAATAGATCAAATAATGATACAGTTTACCTTAAGCACATAGATTTATGCATATCCTTATGTCAATCACTTCATATGTACCCTCTTAAAAATGTATTGTAAAATGTTTGTACAAATACCCACTACCCACATATGAACTCAAAAACTGACATATAAACACCTATACGCCAGCCTAGACATGCATATTTTTCCCACACCTTTTGAATCAGTCTTTAAAAATAATTATCATACTGTAACAATAACACATGATAATAGTAAAAAAAACAAGTTCAGTATCAACATCCATGTTTATGTTGTGCTTACAGATGTCTTTTGTTTTAATATCAACTAAAATTGTTGATATCAAATAGGCCTCCCAACACACAGAGCACTTTTACGCACACAGGTTACTCACTGAAAGCCTCCCTCTGCTGGGTGTATTGCATCTGCTGCAGTTACAGTTCTTTTCCATTGAGGGGCAGCAGAAGACAACCTTTCTTTACTGTTTTGTCTGTCAGCTGATTTTCTGATTTTCTGATGCACTTTTTGCTACCTAGAATTCAGGGAGCTTCAGAAGAATTCCGAGTTTGAGAGGGCAGAATGGGTCAGGAAACAGGGTAAGGTATTTTTACTTTTCCATTACATAAGTTTAACACAATTGCTGAAGTGCATCTTGATTAATATTTTAAATTGAATATCAACAGGTCCTCACTTTGTCGAGTACATTGGCTTCACTGTTACTCCAGAATGCAATGTGCTGTTGAAATGCAAGGTAAGAAACGTAGCTGTTTGATACTGCTGTTCATGTTTTTTTTTTTAAGGAGCCTCACAAATGGTTGCAATTCACGTGGTGCAACTTAACCCCATCTCTCTTCTTTCTCCACACAGATTGGAAATATCAAACCAGAGACTGAGATCACCTGGTCCAAGGACAAAATTGAGATTGCAGAGGATGATGAGGACGCCGCGAAAATCGAGAGAAAGGACGGCCATCTGACCTTTAATATCGGAAAGGTCAGCCCGTTAGACAGAGGCCGTTCATTGTGAGGAGTCGTGAGCTCCTGAGTGAAGAGGAGAGAAAGTGCCGCTTGTGCTGCAGCTGTGCTTCCATCGCAGAGCTAGACTAGACTAGATGCTTCACTGCCAACCATCCCTCTCTGACACACAGTGTGTTTCATCATAAATGATGAAACACTAGAAATATTCCTGTCCTCGAGGCCTGCTGTAATGCTGCTGGACTCGGCACGTCAGCATGTCGCACTGGGGAATTAGAATAAGCCTACTGGGTACAATTGGCACTATTTTGAAGATTTAAATCCTTATTTGGGGTTTATAGACTTATAGGACAAGCTTTGCAACAATTATGCCCATATACAGTATTTAATTTATCTGTGTGATTCATTCATTCATTTCATTACTAACACTATATTCTATTTGACTCCTCTGGCCAATATACTCAAAATATTTAAAACTGGAAATCTGTCCTTGTTTGAGGATATTAATCTGGGGCTATATTACAGAAACTTTTTATCTTGAGGATCCAATCTCAACTTTTTCATAACCATGATAATGAGGGTAAAGAAAAAAAAAGTGATTCAGGGAAAAAGCCATTACAGATGAACACAAAGACCCAAAACGTTCTCAAACACTCTCATAACCTCAAATATACTTTGAGGATAAATGTGAAGAAGTCCTGACTTTCGCTTTCCACCAGAGAATATTAGTCCGCGCTTTGGTTGCTTAGCTACAACCAACAAAATGTCAGCAGGCGAATTTAATTAAGTCAGAGGCTTATTATATGGCAGGCAGACCCTAACGTGGTATTGCAGCTTGATGATAAAACCCTCATTAGCTGTAAATTCACGAACAAATATGTACTTTGATTTCTCCAGAGATGTTTCCAACACCTCATCACCTCATCTGCTTTTTTGTATTTTTTCAATGACAAAAACGTTTACAAAGTTCTTTAACTCAACAATAAGAGAACAGCTGCATGGGTAGAAAGGTCAAAGACATCAAAGTTTACAAATAATAACATGACCTATCCTGAGATAAACATATGATGAAGTAAGATAAGGTTCCTAAAGTTAGGTGACATTTGCTTCTCTAATACCAAATTGTGAAAATCCTGTCTTCATAACTCTTTGGATCTTAACTTAAGACAAAAGATAGGCAGTTTCTGTAATACAGCCTCTTTTCTGTTTGTGCCAATGAAGTTTTATTGATGTTTCAAGGTACCTGTACATTGAAACTGTATTATCATCACTCATAAAGAGAGGGTTGGTGTCATTGCATGAGCTCAGGAGAGGTGGCCCGTCCACAACCACTCCTGTCCATCGCACTTGCATTAACTGGCTTATCTGTCTAATTCACAGTGCGTTATTAAGCAGGAGAAACCGAAAGGAAAAGAAGGAAAAAAGGCAACTGCAGAGGACGTGCCGCCGCCGCCAAGAGCCAAAGTCTGGACATATTCTTTGCTGCCCTAAGTTCACGCCTATAAATATGTCCTTCTCGTCTTACCTTATTCATGTTTTCCTTTTAATGCCTGAAGCATCCTGGGCAGAGGAAAAGCTTGGCTTTTCTGCTTAGTTGGTCTGTGTCCTGTTCTTATATCTGTCCCAAGAATAATAATGTGTTTCCCTGTTTGATATAGAAGGAAATTCATTACTGCCTCAAGGATACTAAAGTTGTTTTACCTTGAACTGTAGATCTCCAAGGCTGACAAAGGTGTTTACGATGTGGTCCTGAGGGACGAGAGAGGCAAAGATAAGAGCTCCTTCGATCTGACAGATGCAGGTAAAGCGTTGTCCATGAATTATGAGAGGGAAACTCAGTCCTGTCAGTGTTGCTAAAAAGAAAGTGAATAACTGTGGTTCTCATCTTTTTCTCCCAGGCTACCAGGCTGTAATGAACGAGCTGTTCAGGGTTATTGGTGAGTGATTAAACTTAAAACACCAAGCAGTAATTGAGCATCACACACACACAGAAAGAAGCAGAATTTTTAAAGTATTTTCACTGCATAAACCATTAAAAGGCTACCGACTTAAATGCTTAAATATGATTTTTTATATACCACTTATTAAATACGTTTTCCATGGGATGTAGATAAAAACTTGACTTTTATTCTTTCCCCTCCAGCCCACTCCTCCTCTGATATCAAAATCGTCAGTACTGAACACGGCATCATCCTCTCCTCCTCGGTCACGTATTACAATGAGGAGCTGCGTGTTGGATGGCTTCAAAAGTATGTAAAATCAACATTATTCACTTACATATAGGATTTCAAAATAACTTTTCCATTCTCATCACATATTTGCTTTACTTTACTTCGTTAGCTCTGCCAAGGAGCTTATTTGTTCAGTTCAGTTTGTGTTTTTGTCTGTTTGTCAGCAGGATTACAGAAAATTACAGGCTCAATTTTCAGGAAAAACCCATTACATTTGTTCACTTTCAATTTCAATTTCATAGCAAGATAGGACATTTGGCCTTGGTGTAACCTCCACCTGAGTGCTTGGTGTTGGGTAAACACTAGATGTATCAAAAGGAAAATACACTAAAAGAATACAGCTAGTAAAAAACAATTAGAAAAAAATACATACAAGCACAAATTACAGAAATGTACAGATAAGACTTAACATTCCAAAAGATTATAATAATACTATTCCTACAAATAAATAATAAGGATGCATGAAACACAAAATATATTACAAAACATATTAAATATGCGTTTATGTTTTTCCAACAGCCAGTTGTTCAGCTTAATAGCAACAGGTTGTTCAGTCCCTCTCAAATCAGTTGGTCGTGTTTTCCAGACATGTGATGTTTGCAAAGAAAAGGCTTTTTGTTTTTCAAAGCTTGCAAGTAAATGATCTCAAAAGGCTTTGGGGTGATTGAACATGTCTGTGACCAATTAGTAAATGGAATATGAAGGAGTATTATTGCACTCATAAATATGTTTTGCTGCCATAGTTAATTAGTTTGCCTAATATTGCACTCTAAAAAAGTGTTCAAATTTGACTATTTTGACTATAATTACCCCTATCAGCTCTCCTGCACAATCTTCCCATGAATTGTATAAAAAACAATCCACAGATGGGGACAAAATCTCCCCAACTGGTAGTGAGGTCACGTTTCTCATTTTGGTATAATACAGGGATGATTGTGCCGCTGCAATTACTGCTTTCCTGTCTGAATCCTGCTCTTCAGGGTACTCGATACTTTGATACTTTGAGTCAGCAGTCCAGCCTTAATTGATCTCTGTGTTTCCCTTTTTTCTCCATTAGAGATGCTAAGATTGCCGTCTCAGAGAGAGTTAAGTCTGGAGTCACAGGAGAGGAGCTTTGGCTTAAAATCAATGAGCCCACTGAGAAGGACAAGGGCAAATACACCATGGACATCTTTGATGGCAAGGATGGTGTAAAGAGAGTCTTTGATCTGAGCGGCAAGGGTAAGTGAAACGTTTAAAGTCAAATGGGGAAGATTCTTCAGACTTGTGAAACGATCTTAATAACTTTGGCTTTTTTTCTTGTGCAGCATGGGAAGAGGCATTTGAAGAATTCCAGAGGCTCAAGTAAGTAAACAAACACATCTGACGCTGTTGTGTAACTCCGTTTGAAGAGGATCTTTACACAAATAAATACTAACAGTCATCACAAACTTAAAATAGACTTTTTTCCACTTTGTGAGCCCTTTAACAAGCACAAACAAAATACATTTCCTGCAATTGTAAAGCTAAGGAAAACAAAAATGTTGGCGTCCTTTCTGCGCTGTGATACTATAAAAGATGCTTCTAAACATGTCTGTGTCCTTCCTTCCGCAGGGCGGCAGCCATCGCAGAAAGAAGTAAGTCATTATTTATTCGTTCTTTTCCCCCAAGTGACATCTATGACAAGATGTCACGTGAAAGCTATTTTAGTTTCGTTTTCATTTTGAATGGTTCACTGCGATTCAACATAAGGGAGTGTTTTGTTGGTCATCTTCATATCAATATATCAATAGTGGAAAATGCTTTTCCCAAAGATTAAATGGCTATTTTTAGATAGAAAAGAAAGCTACTTTCAAAAATTATTTAAAACATCATATATGCAGTACAGTAAAATCAAATATATTGAATGAGGGTGGTTAATTTACCAGTTTTTAAAGTCAGTTTTGGTTAATATTATGTTGTCAACAGGCAGATGTTCCACAGGTTGAAACACTGAGTAATGATTAACATTTGTTTATTGACTCACTCTTGTATTTTCTGTTCAGATCGCGCTCGTGTGGTTGGAGGCTTGCCAGATGTGGTTGCAATCCAGGAGGGCAAGGTAAATCAATTCAGTACTAATACATTGTGTTAAAAGTCTTATGAAGCAGTTTGATGGCTTTGCAAAGATGGATATTAGCACTTCAGTTCTCCTCAGGAAAGGGCTGTCTGACTGGGCTGTGAACAAATTCTAAGTATAGCATTTACTTAAACTGATAATCATTTTTTAGAGTGGCTAAGATACTTTTTGTTGATGCCCCTGTCCACAGCGGTACATGGCTTATCTTCCATGCTGGTACTGTTGTTAGTTCTTCAAACTGTGTGTATGGGGAATGCAATACTGTAGTTAATACGCTGAAAATGGATAAGTACATCACACAACCCCACTTTAAAACATTTAAACTATCCCTTTAAACGCTCTGTCTCCCCTTCAAATTACTATGCCATTATCTCATTCCTAGGAGTTTCTCCTTCCCTCTTAAATCTGTAAAATCCAGACTTGTTACACACACTAAACCCCTGCATTCCTCTTTTTCTCTGTAGTCCCTGAACCTGACTGGAAATGTCTGGGGCGAGCCCGTACCTGAGGTGAGCTGGACGAAGAACGACAAGGAGCTGCTGTCTAATGAGCGCTACCAGCTCAAGTTCGAGCACGGCAAGTTTGCCAGCATCACAATCACCTCCGTCACCACGGCTGACTCTGGCAAATATGCCCTCCTGGTGAAGAACAAGTACGGAAAAGAGGCTGGAGAGTTCACCGTCAGCGTGTACAACCAAGAGGAGGAGGAGAAGAAAGGCTAAAGTATGATGCAGTGAAATAAAGCAGGAAAGATAAACGACTGGGCTTTCTCCAAAGCATTTTACCCCGGCACATGCCGGTGCACTGAGCAGTTTTAAATAAATGATTCATACAGCTCCTTCCTCCTGCGTCTTTCATGTGCTGGGCTAAAGAGCTTTGGGCATCGCTTGTCGAGGAAGCAAACAGTGGATGTGATACAGAGAGGATAAATGTTTGCTTTTAGTTGCTAGATATGTTTTCTGTCACTTGTGACCCTTTCAGCAGTACATGTTATGTTTAATCTTGGGAGAATGTTGACCTGTCATTAATCCTTGATTTAGCAATGAAGGCCAGCAAAAGCAAGACACCGTTTTCTTAAACTATTACGGTTTTACATTTGGAAAACCTTTGACCTCTGAATCCAACTCATGCCTGAGGTTTATACACTAAACAAATAAAGGAAAACACTGATGTCATGAACTTCCCTCCAGCGTTTTGCTTTGTGTCGTGAGACAATGGAAACGTGTCAGTGGATGTCACATGCTCATGCTTGGTGTCTATTTGTAAACAGCTATATGTCTGAACTGTACTGTGTGCATGTATGTTGTGCCGTTAGTCAACTGTTGCAGGAGACATACAGTAACAGTTTGTAAGAGAGGTGGAACAGGTTAAACCTAATGTCGGTCAACACATCAGTTTCAAATGGATCTTTAAGTGTCACACAGCCTACAAAGCTGTATGCAACGTCATAAAGGCATGTAGCTTGCATACTTTTGGAAGTCTTCTCGTGTAGGTGTCAGACGCTGTCGAAGAAATGTTTTGAAAGTCAAAGAATGTTGTATTTCAAGGAAACCATAAAGGTAAGCCCTGCAGCATTTAGTGTCTAAAGTTAAACATAAGTCTGTTTTCTCTTCAAATGCACTCCTTGTGATGAAGGTGCACAGGCTATTGAGAGGTTTCCTTTTTGTCTTTACATAATGGCCCATAAACAGCTCATTCATTGAGAAAAATGCCTTAATTAGAACCACATAATGTGATTTTCAATGAGCTCAAGGGTTTTGGTGATTAATGATGGCCTTTTATAAAAGCTGCTCTAATGGTGGCATCTGATTTCTGCCTGCTTGCATTGCTGATGCCATTCATCATGAGTTCTCAAAGTGTGGTGCTGCGCCCACAGTGGATCATTAACCCATATGGGCCCGCAACTGATAGTGTGAATTTGAAAGTGTTTTTCTTATAATATATTTAGTATTTAGTCTCTATATCCTTATATTCTAAGAATGAACAGTAGTCCCAAGTGCCCATAGAATAACTATAGTATGGTAAGAAAATGGCTTTTTCTCAGAAACTAAATGGAGCACAATCCTATTTGGATTCCAAGTTTATTTTTTAAGGATATACACACACATGTATGTTACTATGTAGTGGGGAAAAAACTCAAAAGAGATGACATTTAATAAACACAAAGTAAATTACTGACTTAGACTATTGATGAAATAAGTATTTTTTTGTGATCTAAAAAATATCTTAGTTATTTTAGATATTTAAAGGTAGGGTAGATAAGTTTGAGAAACCGGCTCGAGATCGCTAGAATTTGAAAATACACAACCGGAGAAAATCTGCCACTTCCTTACAGAGCCCCTCCTCCAACACACACGAACGCGCACATGACCAATGAGGGCACGAGATAAGTTTGTGCACAGGTGGAAAGCTGACAGGCAGGTAGGCCATCCAGTTATTTTAGCCGGGCCGGCTAAAATGATTGGTCGTAATTTTTACAGTATTACGGCTTCCACAGATGAAATTTTTTGTATGGATTTTTTGTCAAAGCACTTAAGATATTCATTGCTATCGGGATGTTAAGAGCATTCCATGGAATATAACAAAAAGTGTATCTCGAGCCGGTTTCTCAAACTTACCTACCCCACCTTTAAGTTTGTCTATACCAAATTTCATGACCAATCAGAACCAATGTTGTGGCATCTTTCCATACTTAAATATAGCCTTTGGGCACAAATGGGTTCTAGCCAAGAGACTCAGTTTATCTCTCACCCACATTTATAATCCTTTTTGAAATATCTGTCAATAAATGTCCTCTAAACAGTGTTCAGGGCAAAGTCTTTCAAAATAAAGAAATGCATGTTGCTCAACGTACACTGTAATAATACTGTAACCCTGAGCAGTGTCAGCAGAGAGAGAGCAACGCCACTGTGCGGCTCCCTGTCCCATCAACTCCAGACAGTCAGTCAGCCACGGTGGTCCGACACAGACACGTCAGGAGGCTTCTGAAGGAGTTTCACACAAACATGGGGACTCACTGAAGGCACAACAACATCCTTCATCGGCAGCATCCCGCTGGAGCAACTGAAAGGTAAACAGTAACCGATATGATGATTTATAACCGTTTGATAGCCTCTCAAAATGCATATTTCTGAATGCACCGTGCGCTAACGCTAGCTAACCGGCTAACATATTTTAGCTGCGATGGATTAATTTAACACTGAAACACATAGCTAAAGGATTGGATATTAGGTAATAACGTTACACATTAACATGAACACTTCTCATTGAAACCAGCGACTTAGCAATAGCCGTGACTGTTACCGTTTGTTTCCCGTTTGCTTTAACGGTAACCCAACGATAACAGTAAAGCTAGCAGCGGGTGCAGCTAGCTGAGCCCCGTCTCCATTCATTTATTTTCCTCTCTTCTATTCCCTTCACAGCTGTTTATGCTTTTTATCTTCACACTTGGCAAGCAATACAGTACACAGTGAACATAATACATGATTCCGTGTTTGGTTTCTGTTCGTTTGTTTCCACATTTTCCTGTTCCTATAACGTTAATGCGGCTGTGTAATGCTGACATTTCAATCAAGCAATATGGCAGCTTTAATCTCCAAAATTAGCATGTTTAGCAGTGATGGAAGAAGTACTTAGATCCAGTGGTGTAAAGTAACTAAGTACATTTACGCAAGTAGGCCTATTCAGTACAGTTTTGAGGGACTTTACTACTTGAGTATTTCATTTGTCTGCTACTTTGCACTTCTACCCCACTACAATTCAGAGGTAAATATGGTACTTTTCCTACGCTACCTTTAGTAACTTTGCAGATTTGAATTCATTATGTGAAATATAAACAACACTTAAATAAGACTTAAGTCACACCTGGAGTAAATCCACAAACTACCCTGTAGTATACAAAGACATTACAACTAGCTGCACCTTTACCAGCTTTGATAACACTTTAATACATCAATAATTATAATCACAACATATAATATATATCATTCAGAAAATGGCCCATACTGTAGCATAACAATTACTTTTACTTTCGGTAATGTGATTGTGTACTAAACCAAAAGTAAAACTATCTTCTTCCACCTCTGCTTGGATCTTATAGTAAAAGTAAATAATACCACAGTGTACAAATACTCTGTTCCAAGTAAAAGTCCTGCAATCAAAATGTTACAAAATGTTACAAAAGTGTAAGAATGAAAATATAATTAAAGTACCAAATCTAAAAGTACTTTAAGGGGCTATTTTCAGAATAATATACATTACATCAACGGTTTATAAATAGTGATGCATTAATGTGTCTATAATTTAAATTTTGCAGCTGTTAAAGTACACGTAAGCTTGGGTTCATCATGTTTTGAGGAAAGTTCAGTTGTTGTGGTGGGATGTAACTAAGTATATCTACTCAAATACAGTACAGTACGTCAGTTCAACTTAAACATACATCATTAGAGATGGCCTTTTTTTATTTGCTGCTACTTTGTACTTCTATTACTTTAAAGTTACATTTCACAGAAAACTATTGTAGTTTTTAACCAACTACATTTACTTGAAAGCTTTATCTACTAGCTACCTTTTACATGAACAGACCTACATTTGCTCGACCTTAAAGCTCTTAAAATGTATCCTGAAACTAAAACACAATAACTTAATATACACAGTACACATGTTTAATATGACACTGTAAAAGGAGCCATTCTGCATAATAAGAACTTTTACTTTTTATACTTTAAGTACATTTTGCTATAAATAGTATACTTTTACAACAACGTAACACCATTTTGAATTCAGTATTTATAGACTTTGGCATTCCTACATTTACTTATGTAAAGAGTCAGAGCACTTCTTCCACCTCTGGTGCTGCCACCTCACCAAACAGACCTGCATGTAGGGGGTATTTAGCTCAAACCTCAGTAGTTTAATGTTAATTTCTTTCAGGCACTTTATGTAAATGTTTAATGGGATATAGTCCCTCGCTGATACTGTCACTTTACAATCAGTCTCACTGCCCTTAGGTAAACTCAAATACTATGACTCAGCTAATCATGACACCTCATGATGAGCACTAAATGGGAACTGATTTGCACTCAGTATTTTGTGTTTACTAGCTAATACTAATGTTATTTTAATATTAAAATGTTGTTTTTTATAATGACTGTGCAGTTCTTTTTAGATGGCTTTCAAGAGGTGTTTTTATTACATTCATTGTCACATAACAGTTTGTAGTTTCAACAAAGATTCATCATATATCTTCATATCATATATCATTATATCTTCAAAGGTTTATTGCAGGAGTGCATCTATAAACTGTGTGTACCCAATAACCTTAGCCAAAGCTAACTGACTTGGTTTCGGTTTTGACTTTGAGTATTTTTTAACACTGTTAATTAAATCTTATTGAAGAAGATTTACAGTTTTACAAACATGAAACACATTTGTCCAGACTTCCCTTTTCTATACTTAATTGATTCATTTAAAAGAAAAGAAGAAGCACTTTACATTGTTCTTGGCTTCTTCTTTCTCACAGGGCGTTTCTGCAGAATGTGTAAAATTGAAAACCAACACGGTCTGTCTGAGGTTGTGGTTTTTTATGGTTTCTTTTACACGCATAAACAGCAGGCTCATTTCAGTGCAGTTTGCTGAAACCCTAATACTTGAGAGAGTGTAACATGAACCCTGTGTGGTCTGGTTGGCCTGGCGCTCAGTCACAGTCAGGTCTGATTCTTTTGTCCCTCCCTCAACACAAATTAGCTCTGTATCATTTTCACATGAAGAGCATAATAATGATAGTGACTAGGACCATAATAGTCATGCCTGGTCTTGTCATTCTGAATGGTACAAGTACAGCATGTATTTATTAAAGAAAAGGGCTTTCTACATTGTTTCCCCCTTAGTGTTTTCAGTTACTGCTGAGTTATTTATGACTTGGCACACAGAAGATTTCCCCCTTAAAGGAAAATCTTATTCTATTTATGCATGACATGTCAAATATTCAAAGAGAACAGATCCTAACACAGAGGGAGGATGAGCCCACAGTCCCACACCCAGTAGGCCCATGTGTTTTGTTTGATAGTGTTTACAAAAGGCTTAGCAGATGGCAGAGTGAGGCCTTTTTGGAAGAGCCTCATGCATGCATTATGTTTATCCCAGGCATTCACTTGGAAGCTAAATGAGGCAGGCGGATGCTGGAAGTCGGACTAAAGGAAACCTGAATTGAATTCATCAATGCTTGGACTACGGTCTCCGCAGTGTACCAATTCCATCTGTGTATTCAATCTATATTGAGCACTTTGGCTAATAATAGCTTTATTGATATTTGATACAGTCTAACCCTCAGAGAGATTATCTCTTTGGTATTTACAGAATTTTTCACTTTTGCGATAAACATGATCCTGATGTCAAAAAGTTCAAGGGCAATGAGCAACAAAGGAAAGCATGTTAAAGTCCGATGTACAGATATCCTATTGGTTGACTTCTGCAGACTCTATCTATGTCATTTGATTAGTCATGCTCAATAACAAGCACATGCAGTAAAGATCGTACCGTACATGGACACGCTGCGCAGTGCTGCTTGTTTTTTATCCTGAGCATGTACTCTTATCAGGGGGAAAACATTGCTTAGACGTTCACAGGAATTAGCTGTCCCTTATCAGCCATACGCCACCACCTTAAAGGGTCCATCCTATTGGCTGATCCCTTAGTGTCCTGTCACCTGACTGGAAGAGCACAACCTGCAAAAAATAGCCAAGATGATAGATGTCAACGTTTATGGCGGTGTTGCATAATCATGCCAGATAGCGGTGAACTTATATTCACCCTTCGGTTACTTCAACGTGATTAGGTGGGCCACATATGAGATTGGATTCAGAATGGCAGGGAGGCATTGTGCTCATAATCTGAGGGGAGAAAACATTGATCCCAGTTGAGTATCCTGAGGTGGGGAGAGTAAGAGCTGGTGCTCTACTCACTGTAATGAAGAGACAGAGATCCTGGGGGGACAGGGAGCTCCTGGGGGGGAACACAGATGACAACACAGACTACAGTGAACAGGATGAGTCCTTGTCTCTGAGGTCGTCTTGGTCCCTGGTGAGTCAACTGACCGCCGGTCATTTAGTCGGCTACAGCTTTGGCGTGATGCCGCAGGGCCTGCTGATCCGTTATTCATTCTGTATTGTGTGGTTTGGCAGGTTGTCTGGAGTTATTGGTTTACTATTGTAGGCAAGGGTGTGATACCTGACCACAGTGAATCAGATGAATGCCTGTTTTATTAATTGCTTCATTCAAGACTGTGTTCAAGAACTGTGAAAGAATAGGTTGAAGAGGTTGTATTTGATATGGTCTCAATCAAAACAAATCTGGTCCTGTCACAAAGCCTGCAAAGTCTGTCTATTATGCTAGCAATTTATTCTCAACAAATGTATCATCCTATATAATGATTTGTTTTTCGGTGTAGCTACTTGCTTGAAATGTAACTTTTGAGTAGAATTTAAATGAAGGAAAAGACAATGGCATGTTTGTCACACGTGAATGTGTTTTAGATAACTGAATACTGGCGCCTTTCCAGATAGCTCTTGTGTAAGGGTCATCTTTGCTTTGAATGTAGAATTTTCCCTATTATGTTACGATGACTTTACAAGGGTTTAGATGCCATGTTTCTCTGCACTTGGTGTTAACACTGTCAGTCCAGGAGGCTTTGCACCTGCAATGCAACTTTCTGTGGTGTAAAATAAAAGTGAAAGTGTAAAGCATAACTCCCCAAACGTGTGCTATTAGCTTGATAGCAACAAGACCGTTTTTGGTTTCAAGAGACAGATGAAATCCAGATAGAGAAACAATAGAATTGAAAAACAACATGATACAATTGGACACTTTACCCCTGACAGAGGCACAGTGAATTTAAAACACCCCCAGGGCATTCAAAGAAACCACGTTGCTAGATACATACATATTATATATATTATAATTATTATTATAATAATTCACAACTCATTCAATCTGGCTCCAGCAACCCCAAGTGTCTGTTGTCCACCATCAGCAAACTTCTCAAACCCTGTGACAACGCCACCTCATCTTTCACCACCGAACAGTGCAACTCCTTCCTCTCGTTTTTCCAAACCAAAATCAGCAACATTTACAGCAATCTGACACCCTCATCAGCACCCCCTTGGCGCTCTCCAAGAAGAGGAAAGTGGACAGTGAGAACAGAGCTTTTAACCCTGAGTGGACAGACTCTTTCATGTTCATCCTGCCCACTGGGAGCACAGAACCAGTGTGTCTCATTCAGAGACCGTAGCGCTCATTAAAAGTGCCAAAACGCCACTATGAGACAAAACACAAAGTGTTTGACCAAACATTCCCTCTCAAGTCAGAACTGAGGTCACAAAAAATAAGCAGTCTCAGAGCCCGATATGATCAGTCCACCAGGATCAAAATTAAAACTAAATATCGTTCCAGTGCAGGCTAACCGAGGCTAACCAATGAGCACCTGCATGTGTGTATGAGAATGGCCCTGACACCATTTCAGCCCAGATTTAAACTCCTGGCAGGACGAGCTCAAGCTCAATTCTCGCACTGAATTAAACAAAAGTGAGTGAGGGACTGCAATATAAGAGGGAAAGAAAGAGAAACTTTAAAACTGTTCAATTGTTATGATGTGTAAAGACTGATATTGTTCTATAATCGTCTGAAACTGTTAAGTCATGATGTGAAACGGTTAACAAAGAAAAAGGGAAACTCAAGCTGCTGCTACACTTTATTTTATTTATCTAAAATTAAACACTTTTAAGATGCACATATTTTCAAAAGCTATTTTATTTATTTTCTCCTATTTTATTTTTAAATGCAGCCAGAGAGGAACATTACACATATCCACAGTATTTTACTATATATCTGTATAGTTCAATGTTAATTGACAATAAATATTGTTGTTTATGAATTGTACTTTCTTCATTTGATTGGCAGTCAGTTGTTGATTACATGCAGACGTTGATAAAGCTACAGGCTACTTCAATATATATCACACTAATTCATAAAGCAAGTTAGACATTTTGATGTTCCGGACCTTTGCATGGGGAGATTTTCTCTAACTGGACCTTGTTGAATTTTAGTTGAATACCCCTGCTCTACGGCATACCATCCAACCTCCTCAATAAACTCCAACATATCCAGAACTCTGCTGCCTGCCTCCTCACCCACACCACATAACTCCCGTCCTCCAGAACCTCCACTGGCTCCCCGTCCGTCAAAGAATCGACTTAAAAGTCCTCCTCATTACTCACAAAGCCCTCAACAACCAGGCTCCCCCCTACCTCACAGACCTGCTGCACCACCACACCCCTTCCTGCTGCCTCCGCTCATCAGAAGCCAACCTCCTATGCATCCCCACCCGCATAAATCACCAGACCTGGGGGGACAGATCCTTCTCCGTCGCTGCCCCCTCCCTCTGGAACTCACTCCCACAACCCATCAGAGACTGCACTGACCTCACCACCTTCAAAAAACGTACAAAAACTCACCTCTTCAATCTGGCTTTTAATGTGTGATTGTTTTTGTATTATTTGACTTTAACTAATATATATTTATTTGTTGTTCTTTTCACTATATCTGTAAAGCGTCTTTGAGCACCTGTAAAAGCGCTAACAAAATAAATCTATTATTATTATTAAATAATCTGGCTTTCGTAACATTTCTGTTAGTTTAGAACTCATTTTGTCCGCACATGCAGTTGTAGTAAAAATGAAACGTAGGGATAATGGATTTTTTGTGTTTTAGAAACGTTTTCCATTGTGTCTGGTTACTTCTCTTCAGATTGTAGTTTCATGTTATCTTCCAGAGGAGTGTCATTGTAGTGAATGTCAATAAAGGGCCTCAACTCGGACATAACTTGAATTTTTCCATTTTCTTTGTCTACAAATGAGGGTTGATGTTCTTTGAGAGAGGTCATTGTTGTTGACAGGCCTCATATCAAACCATATAAACCTTTATAGCATTCTTTGAACTGTCAGTGATAGCTATTAGATCTCATAAATATTGCACATTGTGTGTGGTTAGAGTGGTTGATATCTGAGTGTACTTTCACTTGTTAATATTTTATTGCTATCTAATCATTAACACTCTAGTAAAACACATCATGCCAGTTTCCCATATTCTATGATGCCACCCTAGCACAAATGTGCCTATTCTCTACCCTACAAGCCCCCCCCCCATCACCCAATGTACTCATGGCTTGACTCCGAACAAAAGGTCAGTGTGAGATAGGAGCATTTTAGGTTTCATGAAGTCAGCAGGGGAACATGTTTGCAAGCCCAACTCGACTAGACCCTGACCTGAAAAAACCCAAATCATGTTTGCTAATGTCACAGCGAAGTAATGAAGGCAAATAGTCTTAGTTCAGTAATGAGGCCAGAGGGAAGAAGGAAAGTTTGTCTGATTAACTGTGGCCTGTTTGTAATTTTCTCTCTGGTTAAGTAGCATAAACAGATTGCTTGTGAAGGAATTTACAGTCTTAGAAACTCCTTCTACCAAGAAACAAAAAGTGCTTTGAGAAAATGTTCCGGGTTAATCCAAGTCCATCTATAATTAGCCACAGAGCTACGGCTTTTAGTGTTGTATTTAATAAACATAGCACAGAGGTATGAATATAAATAGGAAGTCAGCTGCTTTCATTGCATCAGGGCAGTGGGATCTCTTCTCATTGTTTTAGCCCAGCAGTCAGCCCCCCCCCCCCCTCTCTAATGTTGCTCATGTGGGACAGCGGCCAGTAACAGGGTAGCAGTGGCACAGTCTGTATCCAGGTCAGGAGATAACAGACACCACAGGGCAGAGAGAGCTGGGAAATAAAAGCTAAAGACAAATGAGACTTTCCAAAAAAGATACTTAAAAGAAGAGACAACAGTGAGTAGATTGTGAGAGAGCTAAGTCAAGTGGAAAGTGATACGATTTTACAACTTGTGCTCCCCGGGACGCTTGCTGAGCAATACTTCCTCTCATCCTGTGTTTCTCTTAACTCAGCTAATATTTTGTTGTTTTCCTCCTCCAGGCGGACACCATGAACTACGTGGGCCAGCTGGCAGGACAGGTGCTGGTAACCGTCAAAGAACTGTACAAGGGCATTAATCAGGCCACATTATCGGGCTGCATCGATGTTGTGGTTGTCCGCCAGAGAGATGGCACTTACCAGTGCTCGCCATTCCACGTGCGCTTTGGCAAGCTGGGGGTACTGCGCTCCAAAGAGAAAGTGGTGAGTTATAACAATTATTTTATTTGATCTGTTTGTTTTGTTTTCTCTCACTGACAGGTGGAAATCATGTAGTCATTGAAATGATCGAGCTCCATTTCAAGACACTTCCACACTTATAAACTTAGAATTCAGGCAGTGATAGTATGCCAACTACTAAGTGTTTTGTTTTCCTTTAAAGAAGCAGGCACTTATCTAACAATGGTTACTTTAATTAACAAGTTGGAGCTTCATTGTCAGCATTAACAGGCTTCAAGAGAACGTTCAGTTTCAGTGGCTAGTAAGTTTGTGTGCAAACTAAGCCAGATCATATTTGGTTTTGTTTTAGGTTTTACATTTAAGGATACTGACTCCTAAATTAAAGCCTGTACACCCTAAAAATATCTGTTTATCATCACATATTACAAAGAAAAGAAGGAAAACTAAGGAGTTAGGACTAGAGCAGGGGTCGGCAACCTTTTTGATATGAAGTGCCATTCAAATTTCTTTATTTTATCAACGTGCCGAGGGGGGGGGGGGGGTGAAGAGCTCGATGCTCGTGAACTGTCAACAGGAAGGCGGGGGGAGCCTCGCTGCGGGGAAGCAGTGTGTGGACCTGTCAGCACCTTACATTAGGGATGCTCCGATCGCCAATTTTGGGGCCGAACGCCGATCGCCGGAATCAGTATCGGCCGATACCCGATCGCCGATCCGATCGAGTGGGCGGGGTCTATGGGGATCTTCCATTTAAAGTGATGTTTAAAACTCAGTTAATGGGGCTCATTCACTGGCGCTTCCAGAAACGACAACCAACATAATTATTACATTCAAATGAAGTACATTATTCAAGTTTACATTAACTTGTGATAATAACACGGGAGAAATGAGAGGATAAGCGCTCTTTTCCTCTCTCCCCCTCTCTCTCTCTCTCCTCTCCCCCTCTCTCTCTCTCCTGACAGCCTGTCAGTATCTCATGCAGCTCACTGATCCAGTAATGTGTGACCCGACAGTGAAGAATAAATATATTTATAACTAGTTTAGCTTGTTCCAGAGGTAGATAAAATAGCTAAGTGTGTTAGGTCTAACTCGCTCACCGGTCCGTCACAGCGGTTGGAGCTGCAGGATTTCTGCTTCACACACATGTTGCATACCGCTATTTTATTGTCATTTTCAGACACCTTAAAATACTGCCAGACTGGTGAAGCCATTTTGGCGAGCTTGTTTTGACACACAGAGAAAAGTGTCATGTATTTTACGTCATGTGATCGGCTCTCCTGATCGGCCTTTATAGAGAGCACCGATCGATCGGAGCATCCCCAACTTACATGATGCCGAATTTAACAAACACATTTAAATAATTGGTTTAAACGGCATAATAATAAGGACGATCGTCCGTTCTGTGATTCTCCAGAACACACATGGCCAGTCCGCCCCTGTGTAGCATGTAATTTCGATGAAAGATGAGCAGATCGCCACTGGGCTTTCAACTAAAGACACAGCCACGCAAAAACTGCGGCATTTGTACAGCTCCTTAGGGGTACTGCAATTTGTGAAGTGCTTTCCTCTGTGGTGAAACGATCAGCACTGCACCACGGAGGTTATTGGTATGTTGAAACTGGTGACCTTACACTAAAAATACATGTTTGTTTATGTTGGTTGAAAAACACTTACCCATGTTTACGGAGGTCTTTTTTGTGTTTTAGCAAGCTAGACTTCAGATGTGTTTAGTATTCTTTGGATTTCTTTCACATTTCCAATTCAAGTTGTAAAGAAAATAATCAGTATGCATCACTGAAATAAATGTGAAGGTTTAGCAGTCAGGTTACCCATTATCATGTCATAGGGTTTCTACCAAAATGAAATGCATCAATGGCTCATCAATAAACCATTCAGGGAAATGTTTGGCTCTGTTTGCAGAACATAGATAGATAGTTGGATGTTCTCTTCTATTCTCTCTCCTTAAAAGTAGTTGTTACTATATGTTCTTGCCTGAAGACAAGATCCAATTAATCATGGTTCAGGAACAATGGTCCTATTTTTAGTGCTTAATTCTCACTTGAGAAAGCGACTCCTTTGTGTTGGCCTATTTGATGGGTGAGGTAGAGCAAGTTGAGCCGACTTTGGTAGTACATTTAATACATGTTTTATGTTTCAGTATTTATAAGCAACTGTGACGGAAAGAATATTGCTTTTATTTGACTTTTTAATGGTTATTTCATTTTATTTATTTGTTGTTCTTTTTTTGTAAGAAGGGACAGATAAAATACAATTTTCTTCTCCCGGTCCTTTCCACCATGCGCTTTAAAAATGTTTAATAAAAAAAACAGTATAAGTGTACATGTTTTGTTTTAAAATAACTGCCATGTGTGGAATAAACAAATAAATAAAGGTGAATATAGAAGTAAATATATTAAATGTAATAAATAAATGCAAACAACACAATAGAAAATGACAGCACACAATATCAACCTTAGGATGATAGGGCAGACAATAAATACTACTAATATTTTTGGTTATATTTTTAAATGACATTTATGATAAATAAAATGAAGGTCAATCAGTTCAATCATCTTATATATAAAAAAAAATCTTGGTAGTCAGTCAGTAATAAGTGATGGCTAGAATTCCACTGCATTCAAAATGTAATATTTCTTCTTCCATCCCATAAACGTTGAACTTTTCCATGACTTCTATTCTTAGAACAGTAACGGTGCGCCCTGACTTCATTAAAAGAAAGCCGGTTTACATGAATGTGAGTGGGTGATGATCTGCGGGGGTTGAATCTCTCTCACCAACTACCCAGAATGCTGATGGGCTCATAGGGAGGAATGAATGAGTTTCTATGGCAACAGCTCTACAACTTGAATGTGTGGGAGGGGGAGGAAACGTGAGGAAGAAGGCTTCGACAACAAGAGCTGTTGTGTAACAGTTGTGCACACGTTCCTGAGATAACTCATCAGATCCTCGAGGGCTGCTGCTAAATATATATGTTTTGGAGAAGTTACTGGACCAAATAGTGTTATGATATTTGTCCCTGACACGCAGATATTTAAACATTTACAGAGTGGGAATTAGGCTTTAGTTGCCAGCTAAAACTAATTAAATGTTGGCTGTGCGTGTACATTAGTCACTTCGGTTGGCAACCAGAAAAGTGATTTTTGATTCCAAGAACATTTGGGAAAAGAAGTAAAAAGAAAGTAGAAACTTCAAAATCTACATTGGCTGTCAGAGAAAAACAACTTGGTGGTACTATGGGTTAATTTCCAACATCTGCTGATCAGTTATCCAGCGTGGTGTTGGCAAATCCCCAACTCAGCCAAGTGAAGGTAACCTGTCCCCGGCTGTGAAAGGCTGAAGAGGACTGTCATTTATTCTGCCTCATTATTAATTGGGTATTGAAATTCTCACCGTACATAAATTGCCCTTAGCAACCCCGAGGATGTGAAATTAAATCTTGAGGCTGCTGAGAAACCACACCAGCAATAAAGAACATCAGCAAAGATACAACATGGATCACTAGAGCAAAATGAAAAACAGATTGGTAGATGTTGAGAATGAATATTAATGATTTGGTTTCAGGTTGTCAGACTGGGCTGATCATTAGTGAGTCACATTATTCCTCCACGAGTCTCTGCCAGACGTGATCTGGTTTTTGCTTTTGTGGTGTCAAGTTTCTGAATGGCCTCAAGTCAGCTGGGGGTTTGCCCGGCAAACATGAATGGCCCTGCTGGCAGGCTCAGAGCACCCATACATACATATAGTTATTGGGTTTTAGAAAGCCCCGGGAGAAAGATGGGGCTGTAAGCAGCTACAGGCTTTCTATGTGACCTGACATTGAATGCTGGAAGTACAGTAAAACATGACCTAATTAATTTTTTTACTTAATTAAAAAGGCATAATCAACACCCTTTACAGTGTCCTTGTTATGTTTTTCTTTTTTAAATCAGTTTATTTTGATATGCATTAGCTTGTCTTAAACTATTTTCGTTCCCTTATCCTCGAATTATTCCCCAAGAAGCTCTGATCAGATCCTCTTTATGGTCCTGTTGGGTCCAAGGAATTTCGAAAAAACGCTTTTATGTGTCTGGCTCCTTCTGATGGTTCTTTGTCATCATTATGCTTGTTAAAACATGTTCTGTTATCTAATCTTTAAACAAATGGTCTATGTTTTCTGTAACCTTATCATAATTCCTTTTTTATAGATGGATTATTTTAGTTTTGAACGTGTCTAGTCTATGGTTGTAACTCTTCTACTGTTTGATTGTTCTTTTTGTTTGTTTGACTTAACTTTTGCTTAATTCTTCCAGATTGACATCGAAGTGAATGGAGAGCCAGTAGAGCTGCACATGAAGCTTGGGGACAACGGAGAGGCCTTTTTTGTAAAGGAGGCCGAGGAACTGAATGTGAGCATACAAACACATACTCAGATTAATTAACACCATTCGGAAAAATGAAATTAAATAGAAATGCTGTTGCAGGTTAACAACACAACATTTCATTTGGATGCCTTTGTTCTGTATAATTCATAGAAGCTAAACTATTTATTATACATCATGCCAAATTTTTGTTGTGTTATAGTAGACACCTTTTTAGTATGAGACTGTCTTGTGTTTCAGCCTGGAAGCCAATGTCATTCTCCTTTGACATACTATTCAGTGAAATGTTAAATCAATACCGTAACAGATTATTTTGAGAAAAGTCCACACTTAGGCCCCAGCCACACGAGGACGATAACGGTCGTATCCGCTACAGTTCTCTATCATATAGACGGTTCGGCCACATGAGGCCGACATGGAAACGCATAAAATGATAACGATAACGGGTCCCAAGGTGGGTAGATCTGCTAACGAAACGGCTCCGTGTTTACGCCTATACGATCATTTCCTGATAACGATGACGCAATAGCCCCGCCTCTCCCCACCTCTCCTGCTCAGAGATCAGCTGCTGGGCTGTCAGAAGAGGGGGAGGAAAAGAGAGGCTCCGTCCTCCGTGTATTATTCTTATATTCTTATATAGAGTCGTTATCAATTTGTTTTAAAGCTCAATAAATAACAAAGAAAAGACCTCTGACCGGCACTTTTCTAATTTTGTCCGGAAGATTTAAACTTTAACGGACATGTTGACCGGCGAAAAAAAATCTAACTGAAACTCTGCTGCACGGTTCCGTCGTCCCTTGGAAGAGGCGGAGAGGTGGGTGTTAGGAGCAAACGCTTGCCTCGGGGAGGGAGAAAAAGAGCCAGAGCGTCCACAGCGGAGAATAAACAGAAGGGCAACCATGGCAACCATGGCAACCATGCGCGGGAAGTCTTCTTTGTTGCTTTTGTGGCAGGACTACAGTGCCACTTACAAGCCCGGCATATGTACTACAGCGTCTCCAGCGCTTTCGAGCAGTCTCGTGTGAACGGACACGTTTCTGGTGCCTATTGCGTGTGGACGGAAGACTTTTTTGATATCGATTTCGGTCCGTTTGCGTTATCGTCCTCGTGTGGCTCCAGCCTTAGAAAACAGCCCTTCCAGTTTCAGCATGGAAAACAGAAACGCCTTAACGCCTTCAGGGACGTGCAAGTGTGAGGAAGTGTTTTTTTGAGGAAATAATTGCACCACTGTTTTGTAGTTGCTACGTCTGACAGTTGACCTGTACCAGCCAATAGGAATCCTTAATGCTGCTTTTGTTTACACTTGTTTACATCTATCTTAAGCCCCAAGTTCTCCTATTTGTCATAATTCTCCTCGATGCCTCCACAGATTGTCCCCGCCCACCTGGCCACCTCCCCGATCCCCACGGAGAGTCACCTGTTCTGGATCTCGGAGGTGGAGCACAGAGCCCCAAAAGGTCTGGAGGATGACCCCGCAGACCCAGAAGACCCCCCCGAGCCTCCTGCTCCGAGCACCGGGTCCACAAAAAAGAAGAAGAAACGGAGGAAGAAGCACAAAGGAGACCCCCGAAGAGAGGAGCTGACCCCGCCCATGTCGGTCACCACTGGAAACGCTATCGCTGCTAACATACCTGCTGCTACGACTGCTGCTATGTCCAGCGCTGGGCAAAATGAGGAGATCTTTGAGATGGACCTGAGCTCTGACGAGGGGGGATCAGCACATGTCTCAAGGTAGGTTCAGGGTCAATGCTCACTGTTATAGAAGAGTTGATTATTATATTTGTGCTTCACCTAGTGTAAAACATGTCAGATATCATTTAATGTAGTCTTAGTCCTGTGTCTAATGTCTTTGTTAGCTATCATAATCCACTTTATCCTTTTATGTTGTCTTTTTTAATCAAGTTGACAAGAATTCTAGGCAGATTTAAGTCTTCTTAGTCAAAGAACACCCTTAGTATTTGGTATAGTTTTAGTGAAAATGGTTGACATTTTAGTCCTCAGATTATATCGGGCAATCTGTCTTTGCAAAAATATCTGTTTGTTCTTTTTCTCCCAAGCCTTATCTTTGTCCTTTTTAACTTTATCTTAAGTACTCAGTACTCTGAGTCCCGTGCTCATTGTGTGCTGTCGCTGTAGACTATATATAACTTAGATAAAAAGGTTATTCACTCACATAGTTCATTTAGTCATAGTGTTTGTTCACCAAATTAACACTGGTTTCCCCTTTAGGTCACCTTCACTGTCCACAATGCGAGACATTGACCCCAAACTACCTGCAGCCAGACACAACATTGATGGTTATCCGCTGTCTGATGGGGACTGGCCGTCACATGACAGGTATGTATTGATGTGAACAGAGCCTCAGCCAGGGCGTGGCAGAGAAACAGCCTCTATCTCACTGACTGTTTGCATTTGTTCATCTATCCCATCAGTCATGGCTTGTCTCAGGCCTTTTCCCCAAAGAGTGACTCTGAGCTGATGGTCCGGCCCTCAGAGAGCATGCTCAGAGCCGAGTCCCACATGCAGTGGACCTGGGGGGAGCTCCCAGAAACCACCAGGGTAAGCGTCTCTCTCCACTAACATCAGGTCTCATTCACCAGCCAGAAATGCTTTGTTAAGAACCCATATTTTACAGTTTTAATGAAGATTAAGACATTTAACAATGTTTTTTTTTATTTGGAATTCTTTCTTGCACAAACATTTAATTTTACAGTTGTATAATATTTGTAGAATTGACATTACAATAACTTTTTATCATTAATATTATTTGTCCTAATTATTTTACAAAGCATTATGGTATTTAATTATAAATTAACACCAAACTCTTTAATTCACTTCAATTATGTTAATTGGGAATTGCTCATCCCATTTCAGTGATCAAACCTTTTGTATTGTACTTCATCTCATTTATTTTATTGTATATCCACTGCGGCGGCTACTATGATGGCGTTCACATCCTGCAGAATTACTGAGGTGTTTTTAATGATGTTTGGAGACCAGCACTCCACCCTCCTAAAGGATTCTGTTGTGGCATTTCTTTGTGTGTGTGTGCGGACGGTTTCATGCCCTTTTTATATCTATTTTTAGAGCTGCCGTTTTCTAATTATTATCAGCTTGAATATGCTTTCAAGTTACAGTGACACTGGGATGCATCATTATAACAAGTCATGAATCTGATGTATACTTTTATGAGGAACAAATGAAGGAAAAGACTTATGAAGATATTGGTGAATGAGGCTTATTCAGAGGTACATATTTCTCAGTGTCCCCTCCTTTTAGTAACTTTCTTTCCCATATCAAAAATCCAGGTCCCCAAGAAGGAGAAAGCAGAACTACTAAAAACAGTGAGGATCACCCCATCAGAGAGCACCCACTTCCGGGTCATCCTCAGCTCTGAGGCCATGGAGGATGACTCTGAGATTGAAAGGGGAGACGCGTCCTCCTCCTCCTCCTCAGTGTGTACCATCGTCAAACCCGAGCCACGGACCCCCATCACCACTTTAACACCCGTGATGCCTCTGGAATCCATCGACATCATAACCTCTGAGAGTCCCCTGACCCCCACAGATCCTCTGGATGTCCTCCCACCCAATGTGGCAACTTCCACCCCTTCCAACAGCCAACTGAGCGACTCGCCCTCTAAGAAGAAAGGTACACCATGGTGGTTACCATTTCCCTTTTTTCAATTGTCTCCCAGTTAGTTCTGATGAACTGATAAATACTTCTGTTGTTGATCCAAGGTGTCCCAAAGAGGAGCCAGCATCAGGGTCCTGAGGATATCTACCTAGATGACCTGAATGTACTTGAACCTGATGTTGCTGCACGATATTTCCCTAAGAGGTGGGGTTATTTTAGAAACACCTAATTAACGTCACTGCATGACCTGTTTTTAATTAACGTGGTTTATTCTAAAATTAAATGGAGTATAAATATTCTTCCCCTTGACCAGCACATTGATGTTTTGTACTCGTGTGTTGCTGCAGTGAGTCTGAGGCAGCTACAAAGCTGTGGATGGACTCTGAGATGCACTCCGGCTCTCAGTCTCCTCAGTCGGTGGGCAGCGCGGCGGCTGACAGCGGCACAGAGTGTCTTTCTGACTCAGCGAGTGACCTCCCCGACGTCACTCTTTCTCTGTGTGGAGGCCTCACAGAAAATGCTGAAATATCCAAAGGTACACCAGAATAGCACTCATAAAAAATGTACATGAAAGTGCACTTAGTAGTTTTATGCTGGGTAGGAAGTTGACCTCAGTGAGTAGAAGACACTACATTCATTATGTAACATTGGAATTTCCCACTGTATTTGCGTCACTAGAATGCCTCCAGCCACAAATCTTCTTTCTATGTGTAACATTAACAATGATTGCACCAACATTTCCCTTTGAGCCCACAAGGATTTATTTCACTGGGGTTGAATCCCAAAAGTAAATTGTCTCTTGAGTCTTATACTTCCTGCTGGAAGTGTTTCTTAGAAGCCCTTAACTAATGTGGCAGATGGAAGAAAACATCTCTGACCTTTTTCTGTGGCTCTAAGTAAGATGATATGTCTCTCCACCACTGACCTTTTCATCTGCTGTCTATAATTAATGTTCCTCTCCCTTCTGTGTTTGCAGAGAGGTTCATGGAGCATATCATCATCTATAGTGAATTTGCTGAAAGTCCAGCAATTATCGATAACCCCAACCTGGTAGTAAAAATAGGAAATAGGTAAGAAAACATTTATTTCACACGTAAAATGTACTAGATATCTTAAGTATTATTATAAATAATATTAAAAGTTCATGTCCTATATAAATATTGAACAACACTTAATTGTTTCTGCTTTTTCAGATATTATAACTGGACATTAGCTGCACCCTTGATTCTGAGTCTACAAGCATTTCAGAAGAACTTACCAAAGGTACTGTGATCCCTGTATTCAGTTCAATATATTGTCATTACCAATGGATTATTATAAATCTGCAACTTGCTCCTCGCTAACGGTCTTTATTGGTTTATCCCAGGCTACAGAGGAGGCTTGGATGAAGGAGAAAATGCCAAAGAAGTCGGGCCGCTGGTGGTTCTGGAGAAAAAGGGCAGACAGTTCAATCAAGCAGGTGTGTAATGCTTTCAAAAACAAAACTTGCACTGCAGAAAGACACATCCATAAGTACAGTTTTTTTTTTTTAATATTAACTTTATGTCCTCTGATATTTTAATTCTTCCAGTCGGAGACTAAGCTTGAAACAAAGGAGGACTCTCATCTGGAGGAAGAAGGAGCCTCCATGTCTCAGGAGAAACTGCCCCTGCCGTAAGTGGAACCAAAGGTTTATTGTTACTCAGTCAAGTGAGTTCAATGACTTGATGAACTCCAGCATGAGATTGTAAAAAAACATCCACAGTTTTATAAATCAGTTTTATGACAAGTCGTCATGATCACGTTGTATTGTGCGACATTGCATTTTAATCTGCTTCAAATCTTAAACAGTTTAGAAGTTGCAAAATAGTTAAGTAGGATCAAAGCATGCATTTTGTTTACACTTAGAGTAGACAGAGTGGTTATTTCACCCACAGCCAACATGTTTTAAAGCTACATATAGATGCAGGAATTTGATAACGCAAATTGTTTTTCCTGCAGGCCTAAAGCCGGAGACTCCTCTAGTGATGAAGAGGCCAAGGAGGTGAGCGCTGCTTCCTGTCAGGAGAGACTGCAGCCAGTCGATGTTCAGCACCACCCGAGCCCCCCCACTTACAGGAAGTCACTACGCCTGTCCTCTGACCAGATAGTGAGTACATTCTTACACAAGTGTTTTCCTTCCTCAAAATCACTGCGTCAACTTCTTTAAAAGTATAGCGCCCTACTGCTTAACTATTTTATAATATTATTATCCCTCTGAATCTCAACACCCTACCAGCGGCTTTGAAATAATTATAGTACACCATTTTCCAGAACTAGAAACTTTCAAAATTGTTAAAATTATTGTCAGGTCATGTAGCACACACATTAAATGTGTGTCCTCCCAGCGCAACTGCTAGGCCTTAAAAGACTTGGCTGTGGGCCAAGAGTCATGTGACACAAAGTCAGTGAAGCCTCTGAAATGTAGGCTGTTTACTCAGAGCAGAGAGGAGAGTTCAAAAGTGATTGTAAAAACAAGAATAGTTCAATACCTATTGTATGTGGAGCCCTAATTTTCGCGAACACTGTTAACACCTCTTGGCACTTTGAAAAAAGTATTAATTAGAGATTACATTTTTAGCAAAAGCGATTATTAACATAGATTAAAAGTGTGTCCTTTTTTACTTTTTATGTATAAGTTTGTAACTGTTTGAGTTCCATACTTCGAGCCATGATTGTTGTATTTCCTTAAAGTTGCAGTGTTAATTCATTAGGCCACAGAGAGTACAATGTGACGGCGCTCTAAAACTGCTTTGGGTTCAGAGGGTTCAATTGTTCTTTATATTGAATTCCTCTCCCTTGTATCTGGTTTTCAGAAAAGGTGATTGATTATTAACTGAAGTGTAGAGTACTGGATGAGATAAATGGTTTATTTAGAAGTTTAGAGCTCCCCCTGCTGCCTCTCTTTGACCTGCAAAGTGTTTGTTCTGCTTCCAGTCTGTAGGGGGCTCTAAAGACCTGTCAACGTTGATTGTACTGTGGCAAACAAATCATACTGGGGAGAAATGTCTGCACTGTTGGGGACACAGAAAATGAAATTGCCTCCAGATGCCTTTCACTGTCTTCCTTGTGTTTCCAGGCCAGTCTGAAACTGAAGGAGGGACCTAACGATGTGATGTTCAGCATCACCACCCAGTACCAGGGCACATGCCGCTGCGAGGGCACCATCTATCTGTGGAACTGGGACGATAAAGTCATTATCTCTGACATCGATGGCACCATCACCAAGTACGTACCGCACAACAACAGTTTCATAACTCCTCTAATCAGAGTAACAATGCTGCACTTCAATTAGGCGGTATTCACATTTTATGAACCTGCATAGCACATTAATTTACATGTAATTACTGCACTCAAATGTGAGACAAACTAGGTTTTAGTGAAATTAACAAAACAACAAGTCTAACATCTTTACATATTCTGATTTAAGGGCAGTAATGAACAACTCAGTAATTTACTGCACTATATTGTCTTAGGCTTTTCAGTTTTCCACTCTCATCCTGATGAGATGTTCTTAACTTTTACCACAAATGTATTAAGCATGTGACTTAAGATTTAGAGTATCACCCTGTGCTACTTTTGTATCAGCCTTTCTACACATTGTGAAGTATTTATTGTCAAAAGACATATATATGTAAGCATGAAAAAAGATAACTGTGTGTAAGGCACCATCTGTGGAGGTGCAATGCTATTTAAAGCTACAAATTGAACACCTGTATAAGGCTTGTTATTTGACTAGTGTGATCACTGCAGATGGAGACAAGGAGGTGAACGACAGTGCGTAACATTAAATCGTTTTGATGATTAAATGAAAGAAAGAAAGGTTAAATAAGTTAAGCATTTAATTTCCCCTCTTAGACATATTTTTCAAGCAATTTTATTGCCACGGACAAATTAAAGTCCTTCTCAAACAGCCGTTATTAAGTCCGTAATCCACGTTGAGTTATGTTAACCTTTTTAATTATCTTGAAGCTCGCTCAATCTTTTGACGCAGGTCTGATATCGCCCACTCTGTGAGGTTTATAGGTGGTCAACATCAAACAGGTCTAGATTGACTGAGACTTATTATCTGTGTGACCCTTTGGGCCGACCTGTGACATGTGGCTCTCTTTGAGTAATAGAGGGAAGAGCACAGGGACTATAATGAGCCCATTTACATTTCAGTCTGTAAGCACACACGGCCATAAGCTGCGGCTGAGACAGTGCCTGCCCTATGGGCCAGTAATCCTCATTAGTGGGGAACAGTCCATAATGTTCTCTGGGTATGATGGAATATATAAAGTCGTTATGTGACCTTCTGTGAACGGTCTTAAGCACCAATCTGCTTTTCCTGGTCTGCTTTGTCACGCTCAAATTTCTCTGACTTTTACTCTACATCTGCTACGTTTTGCAGCCTTGTTCTCAGTGATGTAGGACGGGAATATCTCCGTGTTTGTGTGACTAATATCGAAATGTGTTTGTTTGAATGATTAAGGTCAGACGTGTTTGGACAGATCCTGCCACAGTTGGGGAAGGACTGGACCCACCAGGGCATTGCCAAGCTCTACCACTCAGTAGCTGAGTAAGTGCGCAACAACAACAACACTGATTAATCACAGAGGAGCGATGAGTGGTCGGTCAGTGGTTAGCACTGTCCGGCTTTGATTCCATATAGTCTCTCTATGGACATGATATTACCTCCCTGTGTTTGCGTGGGGGGGTTTTAAGGGTGATGACTCAGGGAGTTCAACTTTATTCCACACAGAGATATTTTAGATACTAAAAAGATGGAACTCCATGTCAGTGTTTGACTTTTCTCGTTGTAGTTTCTTTGTGAGTTAAAAAAAAACATGACCTTAACCTGTCCTCAATGCTTGAGTCATGCAGACAAAAGAAACTGGAAGCACACAAAATAGGTTGTGACCTAAGTAGGAATAGTATATAGAAGAAACACTTGAATTGATTCGGTATTACTGCAGGGCGGCATGTGTGACGTCAGCTTAGTTAAATTATTGAAGGAAAAGGTACAATGAAAGTTTAAGCCAATATTGGGCTGTTTGCCTTATGGTTTAAAGAGAATAACTAATGTTTAAAAGAAACGTTTAGACAAGAATGAAATTAAATATTTAAAACCCAATTACCCTTATCAACCTACATCCCACATTGAAAAAGCACGTTGCATTAACTTACAGGTGTTATAAATGGCATCCTTTGCTTTCGGCTACTTTCTGCCAGAAGTATCATTCAAATTCATATATATTCATAAAGAAAGTCCACTATTAAAATGTTCGATTTTTTAATTAAATTGTGCTAAATTCCCGATCTGGACTGTCCTGGAGATTTTACGGAAAGTAGTTGTCTAATGGCAATCAGCTGGAATAGCTAATGGATCGATGGTACAGTATGACATCAGCAGCACATTATGAAAGCATGTGATCTTATTAAAGTGCTATTCTTAGTAATGGCTAATGATGGTTGTGATATTGAGCTGTACGTGAACAACTGTTAATGAGCACCGTCTCCTAATTGACAGGAACGGCTACAAGTTCCTGTACTGCTCAGCGCGAGCTATCGGTATGGCGGACATGACACGAGGTTACCTGCAGTGGGTCAATGACGGAGGCACCATTCTCCCCCGGGGACCCCTCATGCTGTCTCCCAGCAGCCTCTTCTCCGCCTTCCACAGGTACGAGAGCATTCAGTATTAATGACTACCAGTTTCAGTTTCATCAAGACAAATCTGTCTTATCCTGAAGTCATCTCATACATTAAATCCCCCTTATTACAAATCTTCACTTTCAGAGTGCAATCCTTTTTGTCAGCAAACTCAGTTTCATATTAAGTTTCTCAGACTCCAAATCTTCTCTAAATCCTTATTCATTATAATAAGCCGGAGGTGTTAAGGCCACAGAAAACTCAAACTGAATGTGAAGCTCAGAAGGTGTTAACCGTGTCGGTAACCTTGCCATCAGCCCCTAGTAAGATATTCATATTCAAAATCTTCTTGTTATGCCTTCACTTCCTTTTAAATCTTTATTTCTGGTTGCCACCGTCGGCTTTACACTTTACTCACAGACGGAGACAGCCGCCATGCAATGCCCTTGGTGGACAATTGACATGTTTATTAAAACTAGCATCTAGCTGGGAATAACTAATTATAGTGGTACTGTACTTCAAAGAAAGGATTTTTGTATTAATAGCACAAATTATCTAGGAGATTATGCCAAAATATATCTCAGAATATAACTACATTTTATGTGATAAAATGTGTTGATGTCAATTTAATTAAAATACCATAACACTACGCATAAGGTGGCAGATGTAGCTTTGCACGTGCATGATTGTCATTCACTGAATAAAAGTGCCTATCTGCTATCCTCTGGCTTGAATACCGAATACACACACACACACACACACACACACACACACACACACACACACACACACACACACACACACACACACACACACACACACACACACACACACACACAGGCCTTGTTATGGGCCCCTTGACATTATCATGAATGGAACATGACCAAAGCGGGTGTGCTGTACTCGTGCTGTGTCAAAGGTCAGCATAGTAAACAAACTTATATCTGTATCTTACATCGTTTCAGTGGGATTCCTCTTTGACCTTTACCGTGTACATCATGGTTACTGTGTCACAATGGCAACCTACAGCATGTGGAGTTGTATGTCTTAGTTGCACTTATTTGCATTATTGACATGCCCTCCTCAATTTAATTAGCATATAACAGAGACCTCCCTACCATCCTAGCATTTGGACCTCCGTACCTCATTTACATAGTGCTGTATTCCATCAAGACAAGTTGTCTAAGATATATTTTTTCAAATTCAGAGACAAGGAGTGAATGCCAAGTGAAGCAGAAAATCTGTTACTGGACGTCTGGACTTAATCGAAATCTGGGCAAGGCTACTTTTGTAGAACTGACTACATAAAAGATAAACAGATGGGTGTAATAAAAGTGAACTAATCAAATTAATTATTTTAACTGATTTGATTTGTGTATTTCACATGTATACCTCCTCTTAAAGCAAATTATAATCTTAAAATATCCATCAATCAAATTGTATTAATTTAGCCCAATTTAACACATTTCTCAGGGGGCTTTACAGTGTCTACAGCAAACAACATCCTCTGCCCTTAGACCCTTGCAGTATACAAAGAAAACCCCCACAGTTAATGGGGAAAAGATGGGAGAATGTGTTACAAGTGTCATGTGTATTGACTAATGGTACTACCAATCCATTTGAAACACAGACATAGACAATCCATTATCTAAAGAAAAAAGGATTGGGAGAAACCGAACGTGTATTTGCGAAAGTTAACTCTCGTTCAGACTTGACCCACAGTAAGGACGTGCGTATGAGTCGCTCTAATCAAACTGCCTGTTTCCTGCAGGGAGGTGATTGAGAAGAAACCAGAGATCTTCAAGATTGAATGCCTTACAGATATCAAGAACCTGTTCCAGCATAACAAGCAGCCATTCCACGCCGCCTTTGGGAATCGAGCTAATGTGAGTTAATGAGTGTTTGAAGATGTCAGACTCCCAGACATTAACGCTTTTACATGTCAAAGAGCCGTGTTTTTTTCCAGAAGTCTAGGCAGACGTGATGTATTTGCAATATCAACATGACACGTTGGCTATCAATTAGAGACACAAACATATGAAATCAGTCCTGGGCTGAACCTGGGCTGAGGTCACTGGCGGAGTTTGGTCCCATGAGGCACCGTCTGTGGAGAGAGAGCTCCCGCCGGGCACAGCGCACCATCTTCAGCTGCACAAACACCAACACCCAGATGAAGCACTGCGTCGGCCATCAGACCCTCTGTCTGGCCCTAACGCTCGCCAAAGAAAAGAAAAGAAAACCAACAAACACACACAGTCTTTCACTTCAGCATAGACATATTGCCATTACGTGTGTTAGGTGGAACACAAATCTGTGCTTCATGTTATTCAGCACACCTGTCAGTTTGTCCCCAGTTTGTGTTGTATGAGCTACTTTCTGAAAATATCATCATCTCAGATGGCTTTTGAACGCCTGGTTGCTCATTTTTAAACATATTAAAATGAGCTGCTTTCACATCCTTTTATCCCAGAGAACAATTCAGCAGATTGTTTGCGTTTTATTTACATTTGGGATTTGACATGTAAGCTTTCACTCCTTTTTCTCCTTCAGGATGTGTTTGCCTATAAGGAGGTGGGAGTCCCAGTGTGTAGGATCTTCACTGTCAACCCCAAGGGAGAGCTGATCCAGGAGCAGACCAAGGGCAACAAGTCCTCGTGAGTGCATAACCTGACATTTACTGCCTGTCTCATTAGGTTGTTATAGTACAAATAATAACCAGTACCATTAGAATAAGTACTACAATTGTAAAAGTGCTTGCATTAATTGTAGTATATATATATATATATATCTGAAGAAAAAATCCACCCAATGAAAAGTTTTAGGAGATAGAAATCCTACATTAAAGTTGCGTTATTCAATGGTTTTATTATAACTAGATGAAGTAACTGTGAGGGTTCCTCACTGCGATGTTCACATCACACAGAAAGGTATTCTCTCAGTTTCTTCTGAGCTTTATGGAGGTATTTCAGTAATATCATACAATAAGTGTTCCAGATTTCTCTATTCATCTATTTATCAACACATATACATGTTTTAAAATAGCTTTTAAGATTTACATATAGATGTAGATGTAAAGGATGTGTGTAAGTTGTCTGTATTTCATATATGTTGATAACGGGAAGTCCGACAAAACGGAGGCTTTTAATAATTTTGATTCTGTCTCTATCTTCACTTTTCTTGTCTCTCTTCCTGTTTCCCCCACAGTTACAGCAGGCTGAGTGAGCTGGTGGAGCACGTGTTCCCTCTGCTGAGTAAAGAGCAGAACGAAGCCTTTGTGCTGCCGGAGTACAGCTCTTTCTGCTACTGGAGACAGCCCATAGCCGACATCGACCCCGAGGAACTGGTCTAATCCGGCACTATGGAGATCCAGGTGCCCATATACATGCAAATAGACTGTGCACTTGAATGCATCTCCAGGAGACACATGGACTGAAACACAAACTCTCCTGCATCCTACAGACACACACACACAAAGGGTTATGACCATTAACACAAACTAGCTGTTAAACAGTAATCACCCATTAGAGATAGCTGGAAGTTTTCTCACAGAACAGTAAATCCTGATGAATAATGCCTGAGAACTTTCATCCCTAGCAGACGAGAGACAAATCCTGAGGGAAGATGATCATCTAATTGAAGACATCCGAACCCAGCGAGAGATCTGTCCTCCCCGTCAAAGTGCAGCGATAAAGATCTGAGCATAATCTTTGTTCTCTGTAACTTCTATAAACAGGATGGTCTGCACTTCCCATCAGGGACCGACTGAAGCCCCACACGAGGCATTCGCCTTCAGCACTAGAGTCTGCAGAAGGAAAATACATATTTCTTGAATCACGTTTTTTTACATTTCCTGAATGCCCTGACTAAGCCAAGTGATATGTTCAAAGCAAAGAAGACGCACAGGGTAGGCAATAAACACTGGCCACTAGTTATATGCTGGTAATATTTAGCTGTGGCTGCTATGTTTGCATAGACACAGGTCTCCAGTCCTTTCTCTGTTCTAAAACATAAAGTATTGAATAGGGGATCCCTGCTTCACCACCTATGGACCAAGCCTTGTCTAAAAAAATCATGTTTCCATATGAAAGTGCAATGCCAATTATGTACATTTATTTTTGACCTGGAACAAATATGTTTTCAAAGTCTTCAGAAGTTTGCATATAAATGAGTTGGTCAATTATAGGATTGACCCCCAAGAGACTGCTGTTTGTTAACCATGTGATACTAAAAGTCTATGTTGACCTTTTTCCTACTTTGCTTCAATAACCACAACAACAAGCCAAACCGTGATCTTTTTTTGAACAAAACCAAGTCTGGTTTGTTTAAATTTACAAAAAGTAAAAACTTTGTCACTGAGAAAAATACGTTTCTGCAAAAACACAATTGGGAATGCAGTTTAATTGTACAGGAATGTTATGTTGTAGGAGACAAAATAAGGGTTATGTGAGCCATACACAGCAGTTCATTTCTCCCAAACTTTGTGTAGGTGTTCAGTTTGGTTGCTGACTCTGGATCTGTTCATTAGTTTGCCGTTTGCTGATCACCACTTCCCCTGCAGAACTTACCACGTTCATAGCTAATGAGTCATGTTTGTTACCGTTAATATTCAAGGTCATACCAGGGGTACATTTTTGCCAACAAGTATGTGAAAATACACAGTTAGATGAAGGAACTCATTGTATTTTGTGTAGCTGTTATTTTAATATGATTATTCTGTTCTACAAGCTCTGGCGAAATCAAGTGTGTTTTGTTAACAATGCAGTCATTATTTATAATAATTGGTATGTTTAAGTTATTGATTTCTATCGTGATGCCTTTGCTTGTCTGAAAAAGTAATTTATTACCAATGCATTGTGGAAATACTTCAAAATGCTACTTTGTATGGTTGGCCATTGGGTAACATGCACTTAACAGTAACTGCTCGGCCTTGTATGGTTTCTTTTTTTGCCTTGTATCCTATTTTCACAACGATCTGTATTCCTTGTTTTGCAGTGAAACTTCCAACATCCTAAGGTACATACACATTCCTCAGAAGATCTCAGAATCCGCAGCTTTAGTGTTCAAATATGTGTGTGAAAGAAAAGATAACGCTTGAGTTGAAATAAGCATATCTGGAGAGAGGGCTTAACATGAAGGATTTACCCTTTGGCGAGGTCCTCTGTAGGATGACGATGGGAAGATGTGTGTGGGTATGTGTGTGTGTGCGTTGCGTGTGGGTATGTGTGTGTGCGTTGCCAATCACTGAGTTGTGCTGCTGTTGGGGTGACTGACATGATGCAATCCTCCTTTGTTCCCTCAGTGGCTTTACTAAGATTTACCCAACGCACTTTGTCTAAGTTGCACCTCTGACCCGCGTGCACTTCACTGAAGACAGACAGAGTATCAGTTTTTCAGAATGATGTCAACATGAGGAATGTTGAAAGGGGATTTGAAGGCTTCAAAGCAAGAAGAGGGGATGAAAAACAAAATAATGTTCAATTAGGGAGCTGTGCAAAGTGTGTATGAGTGTGTTAGAGCTGCAGCGATTGGTTGACAGGGAAAAAACACGTACTTTTCGGATTATCGAATACTATTTTTCATTGATTAATCGTTAGTCAAATGTCAGAAAATGTTGTTTTCAGCCTCTAAAATACGGACATTTCTGGATTATCTCAGTTTTATTTTATATTAAATTCAATATATTTTGGTTTGTGACTGATGAGACCAGACTTCACATCGCTCTTTGAAAAAAAATGATGCAATATTTGTATTTTTTCCCAACATTTTACCAAGTGATTAATCGTGAAAATAGTGGGCAGATTTGTCGATAATGAAAATAACTGTTCCAGCCCTATTGGGGGTGTGTGTGTGTGTGTGTTGGACTATTGACTGATCCCGTGCCTCTGGTAGCAGAGGAAGAGCCTTTGGGTCTTGTTGGGAGGTAAACAGGAAATACTTGAGGAAGCGTTCTGAAAGCGCTTCACTGGCATTATGTGTGTGTGTCGTAGGAACAGAGAGATGTGTGCAGATGTGCCGCTCCACTGACATGCATCATACCTCCAGCACAAGTGTAACAGTCCCATGATAATATGTGCTAGTGAGGATTCAACATTAAAAAAGAGTCTGACTGAGACTCAACAAAAGCACAAGTTAGCATCATGGCTACATCCACTATTACCGTCATTATTTGGCTGAAGTGTTTTCACGCTGTCGCTCAGATGTTTTTGTGATGATTAAGATGCGTGTTTTGATTTATTTACTTGTTCTCTTCGAAGTTTGGTGAAGTCAAATAGATATATATCTTATGATTAACAAAATGAATTCCATTCTTTCTATGAAAGTAAAGCATCTTGTGTGGAAGAATCACACTTCATCCTCTATGATCCTGGGATACGTGGTATGAATAATATTGTTTGTTCTCACTCAACTGCTGTGGAAAAGTATCCAGTATATATGCTGATCATCACATTCTTATGTCTTCGATGCCTTTTTCTTTTTGATTTTATTATTTCTTATAAAGTGTATGATCTCTCTGTTTGTTTCTTTCTATTTGAAGGTAACGCTTGCTATTTTGATTGTGTCTGACCAACAGGAATACCTTAAGTGTATGCTGTGTTTGATTTGTATAAAATGTGGTTAAAAGTATGTTTAAAGAACAAAATACATTGTTAGACGAAAAGATATTCAGGCCTAATGAAGCTAACAGAGTGTGGCTTGTGGTCATATTTGTATTAAAATAAAGTTTCTAACTGAATACTTCAATGTTTGACCCACTTTTATTGTCTCCATGAAAGGATCAACAATAACCAGAGGCTAGAGATTTAACTTTTACCCTGTTGCTCATTTGTTAATATCAATGATTTAATACCTCAGGTAATTCCACATTTGCTTTATTGAAGAACACAACCAAATACCATTTCAATTCATTACTGTTTTACTGTGAATAGATATGAGTGTTTTTCTCCTTTAAAGGTTAACGGAGGCTGATCTGAACTGCTGCTGCTTACAGTTTGCTGTGTTGGAATATTTGAAGTCTCAGGAGTGAGGTGAGGGGAAATGTATTTTTCATCCTAACCCACTTTACATAATGACCCAAATGGGGGTTCTCATTTTTCTCAGTGCTGTTCCTGAAGTTTCTTAGATTAAAGAGGACCTATGATGCTCATTTCCAGGTTCATATTTGTATTTTCTGCTTCTACTGGGACATGTCTCCATGCTTTAATGTTCAAAAAGCTTTTTATTTTTCTCATACTGCCTGTGCTGCAGCACCTCTTTTCACCCTCTGTCTGAAACCAGAGCCCAGTCTGCTCTGATTGGTTAGCTGGCTGGCTCTGTTGTGTTAGGCTAGTGACATCTCAAGACCAATCACGTACATTATGTTGGAGAGCTAGCCAAGGGTGTGGGAAACTCCCTCTGGAGGGAACTTTGGGATTGTAGCCTTTGCAGACCATTTACATGCACAAAAGCCTATATACTATATAACACGCTACAGGAAAGGGAAAACTCCAAAAAGCATAATACAGTAGGGCCCCTTTAATAAAAAACATGTGTGGTCTCATACTCTTGACTCGTCATGGTTTGCCTATCCTACAGCATGATTTTCAGCTGATGGGCTAAGCATACTGTATATTAAGACTGTGAGAAGGTTTTGTTAAAATAACATTTTATTATTTGTTATGTTAATTTATAAACACTTATTTACACAAGACATTCAAAATAGGTACAAAAAGGCAACTTCAAATATATTAGAAACAAATCCTGCTTCTTGTTTTCAGGTATATCTGGCAAATGGCTTACGAAATGCAATGTAATGACTTCCTAACTGAACTTATAAGTGAGGATCTTCACACAGCGGCTCTGCGTCGTAAATCACAGCAAATCAGTGAAAAAACTCTGCTTCCTCTCGTCATTTATTTCCTCCAGTCCTTTTTGTCTGGGATCAAACTGGTCCTTGCTGTTTCGGCCCAGCTGAGCTGCAGCTATGACTTGTGCTGCGGTGCGTAGAGGAAGATGGCGCTGAAGGTGGAGAGGGTCTCCCGGGCCCCGGTGGTGGCCAGCCGGCCCCCGGTCCTCACCACGCCGACACGGTCTCCTTTCCTCAGAGGCAGGATCACGCTGAAGGACACGGACCCCCCGCAGCCACAGTCTCCAGTCGGGGGGGCCCCGTGTTGGCCGGGCCCTGCGGAGCTCTGCAGCCGCTGCACGCTGCGGTTAGACACGGACAGAATGGCCTCCACCCGGTCCCCCCGCTGCGCCGTCAGCAGGCCTGAGATCAGGTATCGGCCGTCCAGAGGGGCGGTGAAGATCCCTGCAGAGGAGAGAAGGGACGAGTGGGTGAGATCAATGCGTGAGTCACATGTTTACTAATGTTTGTTGTTACTGTGCGTCCTGTTTTTCAGCATGAAGTGAATGAGGTTAAAGGATAGGTTCACAGTTTGTCAAAGATTTCTTAAAACAATAGTCAGGTGCACATGAACATTGAAACAGATGTTGCTTTGTGTCATTATTTCTCATGTTCATGTGTCCAGAGAGTATATTTAATATGGTAAGGAAAATAACTAATTGATTTTGTATATGATTGTATACACCTCGGGGCAAATATTTTTTAATAGATTTTAAGAATTCCAAATCAGGTTTATTTTTTAAATGCTTAAATTGGCTTCACTAAGTACCTGCAAATGTAAGCTTATCTTTGATATAACTTGTTTATGATTTAAAGATACCAAATACTTTAATGTGCTTATTGTAAACCGCAATTTTCCAGTACTACAGTTAGTCTTTGGGCACAGTTTTTGGCACAAACTAATGGCCTTCACATTGTAAAGATAGGGAACAAATCCAGTCCTTATCCCTTAAAAATATGTACTCAAAGGTTTATCTCAGGCTTTTTTATGATTAGTCAAATCAAGTGGAAGTCTTCCAAAGTACTTTTTGTATGAGCACATTTCTTTGACATCAAACTCGAAAGATATCCTCTTGATTTGTGTAACTTTTGATTATATTAACTGACTGATGAACCTCATTTAATTCAATTACAGAAATGACACTTAACCAATCCAAAAGACAATTGAACTAAAGCCTGTTGAAATGAAGAGCTGTGCAACTGAAGAAAATCTCTTATCATAAACTAAAGACAACACAAATGTTGAAGACAAAGCAACTGAACTGATGTGATATGCAATTGGATTGTTTGTTGGTCTGACATGTACCCAACAATATCCATGCAAAGTATTATAATGACCCTGCGACACATTTTTCTAGTTGTTGTTGTGTACCTGTGTGTGGATTGTAGTGTCCTCCATCATTGACGATGACTCTGTTGAAGCGGATGAAGCCGAACTCTCCAATGAGCGGCTGCTGTGTGAGGCCGGCAGAGAAGGAGAAGGGCTCCTCAAAGCCACTGCTGGGGGCCGAAACTGATACAAGAAAATGCATGCGAGTCAATCTTTGTCTCATTTCAAAGATACATTACTCACTTTTTATACAGTCACTGAAAAAAAAGACGTGATATTATCTGTTTATTGTAGGGTAAATAGACTAAGGTAGGCAAATCAACAAAATAATGTTGGCTTCAAATGTTATTATCCGGACATGTGTACAGAGAATAATCACTGACTGTATCATACCAAACTAAAGACAATACATCATACAAATAATCATACTTTGTGATTAATGTTCAGATGATCGGTTAAGTATTGTCTGATAGTGCTACAGTGGGTATTGTGTCACAACAGTTAGCTTTTAATTCATTCACAAATCCTTTATTTGAACTAATGATTTGCTTACTTTTTCTTTATCGATGCAGTGACTTATTGAGAGGGGTGTATTTTACCTGGTGATATAACGGGAGTGTGTTGCATCGGGTTCCAGGGCATCTTTGCAGCTACAGGAACTACAAGGTATAAAAATAAAAGTGTTAATTATGTATTACCTCCTACAGTCACGGGTGTGAGCTGCCACGTCTATCTTTATATATGTTTCATTAAAATGAGTCTATTATTATGTTTCAAAAAAATAGAACCACTGTATTCAATTGAGTGTTTTTGTTTGCTTTTCTGAGTCAGTAGCTGAAAAGAAAAAAAAGATCTTGGTTTCAGTGACTTTAGCTGTTCCCTACTTCAGTAACTTTCTTCATCATTACCAAATGTAATATTTGCCATGCATCGCTACAGAGGAAGACGAGCTAAAATCCTTCCTCAGTCCGCCCACATCTCCTTAAAGCAAACACATCCAGTTCCCACTCACCCACACTCTCAGGCTACATATCATTCACAACCTTTTCCAGTTTGTCTTGCACCGATGTAGTCGAAAGGCAAAGGGTTGTAACTTGATGATTAACTGCTACAGTACATTACCTTGGCGGCTGTCTGATTGAGGCTTGAAAGATGCAGGCTGCAGAGGAGGATAGCCTGCAAAAGAAATAAATGAAAAACACATCATGTTTTATCATCATCTGAGGAGAAAAGCTAGGGAGGGCTGGCCAGAGGGAGTTGTTTGGTTTTCCATCCCAACATTAATGAGAAAACACTGTGGCATAGAGTAGCAGAGGTGTAAATTATAAATAAAAACAGGTTGTAAGCATCATTTTGGATTTATTTGTAGCTTTTTGAATCATTTTGATGTTGATTTAGCTGTTTTTCAGGGCAATGAGTTAAGCAGATACAGGCCCTACAGTTTCCTCCGAGGCTTGAAATGAATGTGCTGTTTGAGCTCCAAACAAAACCAACAACCATTAAACAGACATTAAAGGTAGGGTAGGTAAGTTTGAGAAACCGGCTCGAGATCGCTAGAATTTGAAAATACACAACCGGAGAAAATCTGCCACTTCCTTACAGAGCCCCTCCTCCAACACACACGAACGCGCACATGACCAATGAGGGCACGAGATAAATTTGTGCCCCGATGGAAGGCTGACAGGCAGGTAGGCCATCCAGTTATTTTAGCCGGGTCGGCTAAAATGATTGGTCGTACTTTTTACAGTACTACAGCTTCCACAGATGGATTTTTTGTCAAAGCTCTTAAGATATTCATTGCTATCAGGATGTTAAGAGCATTCCATGGAATATAACAAAAAGTGTATCTCGAGCCGGTTTCTCAAACGTACCTACCCCACCTTTAAACAAACCAATCATAAGGGTTTACAGCCCTGTAAAGAATAGATTGTATGAAAACCTGCCTTTCAATGCTGAAAAAGTTCAAACGTTCATGACTCGTGAAGATTTGCATGAATTTCCAAGTTCAGTTCTCAGGTTAAGATTCTTAACCAACACATTTTTAAAGTGTGTATTTCAAATCTTCTCTCTATTCTTTTACACACCGAGGATAAATCAGAGCCTGCGTTACATTGTTTGATATTATCTCCTAATCATTATCTGCAGTTCCGCTAATTCAAACCAGATCTGGCTCTGTGAGTATCGGTTGTCCCCTACGTTGAGTTGGAAGCCTTTAGCATTCCTATGCATGGATGACACGAAAACAAAAAAAAGTACACGGATAATTAAACCTCTTTTATAAGTTCCATATGTGAAAAATGGCCCGATTCCAATTGTTGTCATTGCTGACGCAGTTTCAATGAGTATATCTGATGTGACTGTGAAGTGACAGCACTGTTGACAAGAGGAAGAGACATATATTATGTCACACATGTGGTAATGCTGGCTGAGACCCATGGTGCCAGAATGATCACACTGTGTCATAAAATATCCTCCTTGTCATGGCAGTAATGACAGATTCTAGTTTTAGCATCAATTCATTCAAACAAG